GAGAGCTAGAGGTCACTGAAGGCAAAGGCCCGCGAACGGGCCCAGCAGAACCTGCTTGGTGACAGCCTGATTATCACTAGAGGGAGCTGGTGGAATCCTTGGGGTGGTCCATCTTCTGAGCACTGGCAGAAAGTCCCATGGGCAGGATCTGACCCCTGGGAGTCAGAGGAGGTGGTTGCAGGGCAGAATGCTGCTCTGGAATGAACACATCTGTATTTCTGCAGCGCTAAATTCCATGTTTTTGTACACAAATGACACAGCTACTTTTAGCTGTAATTATAGTACAAAAGAATAGAAAAGTTCTGATTCAGGAAATAAGTATTTCCCCATCCTCCAAGCCAATTGCAGTTCATTAGAAAGGCATCATGTCTGTGAGTTTGAAAACCCTTGTGAATGGAGCAGCTGTAGTAGAGTGCTGTATCTAGTACCACATGGTAGATGTGTTTTGTAGATTTACAGAGCATATGGTCTCAGTTGTGTTATTCCAGTATGTTACCTTAAAAAACTATTAAGAATTAATTAAATTATAGTCAGCATTAAATAATCAGTTATTTTCTTCTGCTTTTCTCCCTTAAATGTTGCTTAGATGAAAAAGGATCCTCTGTAGACTAATTTTTAATAGTTTTTAATGATGGTTTTTACTTGGTTCTTTTTAATTGTTTTAAAAAATATTCTAAAAATAATGTTTTGGGGTTTTTCCTAAAAATTCCATCCTACTAAAAATGTGTGCTACCTTTGTATAATATTTTTGAGACCCCTTGGAGGAACATGACTGTTAAATAGTTTGTTTTATCATTGACAGCCATTTTAAGGAACATTTTGTAGCAAAGATTCTGTGTGCTGAGTGTATATTGTTAAATGGATTTCAGGATTCCAGTTTGAATAATGATAGCAAAGATTGATGGAAAGGTGGGATTGCAGTTTAGGAAATCACCTTTTAAGAGTCTTGTGATCATGTCTGATATGCTTTTCTGATTGTGATGTCTGATTCAACTGCTACTGATGCTGAAAGATATGCAAGTAAAGACAACATGCTGGAATATCAGTCATGGTAATGTGAAAGACATGTTAAATTTAAACATTCATTTCCCATCCTGCTGCTATGGGATCAATATGTAGACTGTTCCCAGCCAAAGCAACAGTTGTGGGATTGTTCAGCAAGTATAATTAAAACATTTAATTGACATGAACTTACTAATGGCTAATTCCAGATGCAAGACTGCATGAGCAATGTATGAAGCATATGCTAAGGAAAAAAACCAGGCAAATAATTTGGTGCTTTTCAATTTTCTATTCTTTTTTTGAGCTTACAGGTCTAAAATACCTGGTAGGATAGAGGTTGTATTTTTGGTTTTTTTCTTCTCGATTAGAAGTTCACTACCAACAGGATCACTTTATGAAAAAGACAAAGGTAATTAATGACTGCCTTTTGCACCACAAGACCCAAAGCCATAACACAGATAATTTTTGTTCCATGTTTTCAACATCTGTTTTTTGTGGTTGCTGCAAGGAAGGGGAGATATCAGTGACACACTGCGAGCCATAAGACCATTTGTTCCTTGTACTGTGCTATGCAGACTTTATAGGCGAAGCTGATGCCAGTTTTCTGATCCATACAGTCATTACAAACACACAATGTAGAAGAGAAGATGCTTATAGTATAGTGATGCTAATACCTCATGCTCGTTTAACTTTTGCAAGAGCATCACATTTTTAGGGATAAACTAGCAATCTAAAATGCAAACCTGTGAGTAAATAGTGCAGTCCAAGGGAAAGAAACTTTTGCTGGTCATTTTGCAAGGCCAAGGTTTCACCTACAGGCTGTTGCAGAAATAGAAAAAGGATTTGTTTGTCCTATGTGTGTGTTCCTATTGCATACTACTTTTATCTTAATAACACTGTTGGAAGAATTAATGAATGCAGGCTACAGCATGGTTTTTGTATGTCACCAGAAAGCAGTGTTTGAAGTGGTTTATTTGATTGTGGTATTGCAAGTCCAGGGTCAGTAATAGTTGTTCTTAAGTAAGGTTTATGGGCTCTTCTTTAAAGAGATGGATTTCTGTACACTCATTTAGTGGTAGCTCTGCCCTGATTGTAAGTTTTTCAGTCTCCAAAATGGTAGGTTAAATGGAAAAACTACTTTTGTTGCACAGTTGCTGAGTCCTTCCTAGGTCAGCATTATTACTAATAAATAAAATGCTCTCTGTATGTGTCAGTGTGTGTTGTCACATAAATGTGTGAGCACTCACTCCATTCTGACTTCTATGGTTCAGATCAGATTTCTGTCTCAAAGTGATGACAGAGATAACAAGCAAGCAAAGCACGTGCATGTGTGTTACAGCTGTGTTAGGAGCAATTGCTCTCATAACAACAGGTAGTTGCTCGTGCTCATAAGTAGCTCATTAGTTCATCTGAGGAGTTGTGATCTAATTAATAAAAGTAATCTGGAGACTTTCTTCTGTCTGTGGGAAGGACACCATAGACACCAAGGACTTCATTATGAGCAGTTTCCTCTTGTGACTGTCCAGGTTGAGTTTGTCAACCAACATACACTTGAGAGGTGGTGAGGACAGTTATAGCTGCATCACGGTGTTTTTGTGGATGGTTACTGGAAAACATGGGTAATGCACCATTTGGACATTGAGAAATGGATGGCAGCATGGATGGGTCCAAGGGAGTTGGAGTTGTCCTAAGGTCACCAGGAGCTCTGTCTGCACAGCTGACCAAGAGTCTGCCCTTAGTTTGGCCAACAGGTGACCACACATTCCCACTATCTTCCCAACTATTATCTGAACTAGCATTGACCTCCATGAGCAGCAGCCTATTAAACAGTAAAAGACCAAAGGAAAACAGCTTACAAGACAATACAAGTGGGAATTAATAACTTGTGTAAATACATATGCTGTGTTGCTCAGTCTTTCCCAATGAGTCTGTGAAGCCCATGCCATTATTTCCTTTGCTGTGTCTCACCTGCAGATGCCATAGAGTTACCACATCCTGTCAATGCTTCCATGAGAGTCACTTTCCTCCACTAACCTTTTTCTGATGGTGGGAGGGACCACCAGAAATTCTGCAAAGAAAAGTTATATTCTGGTTAGACTTTCTGCTAGAAGCTGTACCATAGGGTGTCCAAATGGCAGTGGCATTAGTGAAGCCCCCTTGATTCACACCTGACCAGGTATTTCAATGTAAAGAAATGGTATTTGCATCAAATATAATGTTTGTTTTGTTTCTTTCTTTACACTGTTTTCAAGGTTATTAGAAGACATTTTAAATATAGGGAGTTCTTGATGATGCAATTTTTTAAATGAAATATTTAGAAAACCATTATTTAAGTAGCAAATAGAACAAATTTACAAGTTTTCAAAAATATTATTAGGGCTAGGGTTTTAAATCCATGTCCCACAGGCGATATGTTGGTGTGGTTGTTGAGGTGGGGGGAAGGGTATTGTGTGGTGAGTTTTGGGGAGGGAGTGGTTTGGGCTTTTAGCCCAACAAAATAAAGGAAGTTTTCAGTTGAGCGTCTGTCTTCTTCTGCAGAGGAAACTTGCAGAATGATGTTTAAGGTCGTTTTAGTCATAAGAGGTGAAGCACAATAATGGCCAGCCTATGTTTGTACAATTGGAGGATATTTCTCATAATGAAGGAAGTGTCCAAGGTCAGCATCTACAATACCCGGAGAAGTTACATCACAAAGCCACAGCTGCACCAGCCTGCTCTCTTCCCCTGCTTCACCCCCCACCTTTTATTTTTGCACACCCTTTCTCAGCATAAGTGTTCCACACATCTTTTGCAAGAATACCATGGTTTTGATTTGGGCTTGTGTCTACTGTGTTATTTAGCTATTAAACACACCCCACCTTCAAAAACGAAACCTGAGTGTTTTTTTAAAGTTTCGTTATAGTCTTCTAATATCCTGGACATTCCCAAAGTCCATTTGTCTAGCTTCTGGTTTTGCAATGAGAATTACATTGTACTGTGATGATGGCAGCAGTAGCACCACCTAGATCTAGTCTGGACCTGTGCATTTTACTTACCTCCTGTCATGTGATGGCAGTAGGCATGGCAGCTCACACCTTTGTGTTGAGCTGTATCTGAAGAAAAAGGCTCTGGGCTCTTTTAGAAAAATTTGTGAGGGAAAAGACTTAATCTTAATTTTTATAGTGCACTTTTTGTCACCATTTATTATGGAAATTAATGTTACTGGTACATGAAACACCATTTGGAAACCTTGGATATAATCTGTTTCTTTCTTGGCATTTTTCTTTTTGTGTGTGTTTTTATACATGATATTTCAGTGCAAGGACTCTCTTTTACAATCCTTTTTTTAAGCACTATTTTTCACAAGTGTTTGCTTGGTTTAGCTGTTACCAAACCATTTATTGACTGTTAATCTAAAATCCTGTTTTCTTATAATGGAAAGAACAAGGACACTCCTAAGAACCTTACCAGTTCCTTTTATTTGTTTTCCATCCTCCTGGTAAGGTTTTCAGTTGTTCCATCAACAGTACAGCAAAGTGAGAGGTTGCTCTACATACTTCTCATTGCTGTAGACCTTTTTCTGTTTATACCCAAAACTCTGACTCAGTGCTGTTGAAGTCAGCTAAGTCTCTCCCTGGCTTCAGGTTGTTCTGAATCAGCCTATAAACCTAAAATTCAAAGCTGCTTCTAACAAAGAAAACAAAGCATTTTTCCTTCAGTTTCTAAGAGAACCTATGTTGTGGTTTAAGCCTGTTGTTCACATCTAATCATGCTCACCAGTGACTATTCCAAGCATCATATGTTTGCGTGAAATCCCCTATTATTCAGTATTTCCTTAATTGCGTTCAGTTAATCTACAATTAATGCATTTTAAAAGGGCGGTGGTGTTCTGCCATCCCTGCTCTCTCACTCTGCAATTGGACATGGTGGTTAGGAAGGGTTGTAAACGTCAGCTAGGTAGTTAGGTAACTCCTGGTATTTAAGGAGGTGAGAACGAACACTGATCTTCTTTTAGGTGTGGACAGGTGTGAGATAGATTGAATTGGACAAGTTGAAGGAGGATTTTTAAAGTTGAAAATATGTGTTTTGGAAGGTGTGCTAGATGTGTTGGTTATAAGTTGCTCATCCTTGCCCTCCTCTGCATCGTGGCCAACGCTTTACTTTATTTTCCCAATGGCGAAACAAGATTTGCTTCAGAGCATCACCTCAGCAAATACGTGGAGTGCCTTCATGGCATTCTAGGTGGAGGCTTTCTGGTAAGTAAAAGCCTAGTGTCTTCTTTCAAGTTTATTTTAGAGGTACTTGGTACTGCTCTTACTGGTTACCTGAATTTATTCATCAAATATCTTGTCAACAGGTGTCTCTGGAGTTGTAGGAAAAAAAGAAAGAGTTATATTATCCCATAGCTACAATTAATTATTGTTGATTATCTTGTCTACAACATTATGTCACTTTAAAACTGAAAAAATCATAGGGTCAAGGGCACAGAATCCAAATGCAAAAGTGAAACCAAACCTCTCAGTAGGTCACAGTTTGCATAAAGGGTTAAATCTTAAATTTTTGTTGTATTTCCTTTTAAATGTCCCTAAATAATGAGCATTTAGATACAATTCCTTAATTTCTATTATCTGACATGCTGACAGGTATTTCTCTGCCTTATCTGTTTATTCAGAGGAGTTGAGTGGTAGTTGTCAAAGGTTTGCATTTGAATAACAGGATACAAGGACTGAGTGTGTTCATTATAGGATGTCATTAATGTGAAGCTCTTATTTTCTACCTTTTCAGTTTTGTAGACCACCCTGCAGCATATTTAAGACCCCTAACTCCAGGCTTCCCTTTTCATTTTCTTCTAGAAGTCCTCTTAGAAGTAGGTTATAGGTCCCTTCCAATTCTTAACACTCTGATTTTATGATTTCAAGGTGTCTGCAAATCACAGGTTGAAAACTATTGCATGCTAAGGTGTTTTATGTTGTGAGAGGTGTTACAGCTATATTGCAGTCTCATTGGGACCTAGAGTGGGATTTGCAAAGGCTGAGCTTTACACAAAGAATAATACAAATAGAACCAATGGAACTTCTCCGCTAGTGCACTTGTACAACCTCTTCTGGATTTGAAGCACTGGGGCTCAGAATCAGGTTTGAGTAAAGGTTGACAAGTATGTGTCTGTTCAACAGGATAGTTATTATTCTAGTTTCATGTTAAGTAAGTCTGTGGCATTTGCAAATAACTCTCTATCCTTTCTTTACTTTTTTCCAGACTTCTCTTGGTCTAGAGTCTTTATAAGTAGGCACTATAAACTGCTATTATTGCTAGTGGGAGGATCCTCTTTTTAATCAGCTGCTTCTTGTTCATTTAGCTCCTTCAGTTCATTCTTGATTTTATGCTAAAAACTCTGGAGTATGGATGGTTTATGCTTCTCATGGATAGCTTCTGCTTTGCTATTTTGCATTTCTGTCACTGGTTGTGAAATCTTGGAAAAAAGTAGATTTTTATAATGAGATGTTTTTCTGAATTGAACAAATTTTACTAGACTTTCTGCTCTAGTCAGACTGGTTTGTCACACAAGTAATGATGATTTTGCTTAAGTAACATGTATATTGGCAGCAGCTGTTTTTCAAAAATATTTATTTTGTAGTCCTCATTAGAATAAAGTTAATGTCCTTTCTTTTTCTTTTTCTTTTCTTTTTTGCAAAGCATTTCATTTGCAAATACAGCCTTTAATGAAAAGAGAAATTTTTAAATCTGAAATACTTTAAATGTAGCAATACTCCAACAGTCTCTTTCTGTGCTTAAGTGCAATATTGCTACAGTGGCAATAGAAATATATCTGTCCTGGGTTTGGTGATGTCAGTAGTGAGATGCCTACTGTGTTAAATAGGAATAGAGCTGAATCACCTGTACAGCTGACTGCCAAGAAGCAACATAAATGAATGTAATTTGAAGACTGTATTATATCTGCCCTCTCTTTACAACCAAAAGGAACAGTGTGGGTTTTTTGCTCCATACCTAGGTACTCATTCCAGCTGCAGTGTTCATTGGGCTTCACAATGACGACTGCTGTGGGTGCTTTGGCCATGAGGGCTGTGGAAAGAGCTGTGCGGTAAGTGAGCCTGTACATCCCCGTCCCAGGTAATCCCAAAGACAAGGCAATGGCTGTGCTGAAAGTTCATGTTTATGTCTGCTCTGCAGATGCTGTCCTCAGTTCTGGCAGCCTTTGTTGGGATCCTTGGCTCTGGATACTGTATAATCATTTCAGCACTGGGCTTGTCTCAAGGACCGTATTGCCTTACCCCCCTAGAAAGAAACTGGATCTATCCTTTCACTGACTCATCTGGAGGGTAAGTAATCTGTTCATGAGGATGTTATCTCTTCCCAATATACACATGGGCTTTATTCCAGTACCTTTCAGCAATGTTCAGTAACCATATACCAAAATCTATTCATAACTTTATCCTTCCCACTTAGAACGTAACAAATGGCATCAATTACCCTCACTGCTAGAGTATAAAACCAAAGCCATAAAAAAATATAGAGGTGATTAAATCGATACATCATATACTACTGTTCATGTCCACAAAATCTCTAACAAAATATAAAGTTTTAGGACTTTGAAGGATTTACAAACTAGGAATAGTGGTTGTTAAGATATTTGTCTTATCATTTGTGTAAGTGTCTGTTTTTTCAGTCATGCTTCTGAAGATGCTTTGCACCAGCATAAAGTGGCACAATGCTCACATTAGTGACAATGGCATAGAATCTCATAAATGAAACTTGAGAAGATTTATAAGAATCTTTGTATACTGCAGAGCAGAGAGGGCAAGAAGCTCCTAATTATCCCTAATTAAGGTTCCCCTGCAAAAAAAGTCTCAGTGAGCTGTTCTCCATTAATGCATATAAATTCTGATGTGGTTCCTATCATGGCATGCACTTAAAGTGTCTGTATGATTGGCAAACTCGAAGGTGTATCTAGCAACAGCTTATGGCTGATGCCAGACTAGAGAGAGTTGGAGTACTAAGAAGCCACGTAAAGCTCTTTGCAGCAGAGTTTGAATTTCATATTTCACTTGTATCTCTTGTATTTCACTTGTGTCATTCCTCCTTCTCTATCCTCCTGACTGCTACTGAGTGTAGAAGAACTAGTCTAAGTCCTCGCTGAAGGCAAGTGCTGGTGTTCTCAAGATGTAAGTGGGCAGTAACAGCTGAAATAGTGCAGTACTTCACCAAATTTGTTCTGTGTTTGGCTCATCCAAGTAAGCATATGAGGGCCCAAAGACGGCAACACAGGAGAGAAAGTGACCCATTTGCCTCAGATCAGTGACTGCTATCTTTAGAAAAAAGGGCCAATCCTGCAAAGCTCTTGTGATCATTTTGAGAAAAACCTTTGCTCTTTCAGCTTTCTTGAGTTTGTGTCACTTTAACCAGCATTGGAAGTTCTGCCTTTATAGCTTAGATTATTTTTTAAAAAAGAAATTAAGATTTAGCAAAAATGTGTGGTTGATATTTCAACATCTTCCTAAACCAAACAAACCTTGCATGGAATAAACCATTGCTTTTTCTATTCCCTTAAGAATCTATTTCTAAGGGAACCTAGCCTATTAGGACTCCATAGAGTGAATATCCTCAATGCAATTACAGACTAGACATAATATGGTTATAGTATATGGTAAGTATCCTATTCTGACACAATGTTAATATGCTTTTAATTGCTGTGTACAGGTACTTGTTTGAGTATAACAAGTGGTCTGAATGTCAGGAACCTCAAAACATCGTACAGTGGAATGTCACCCTCTTTTCCATCCTCCTTGTTTTGGGAGGAATAGAATTCATTCTGTGCTTCATACAGATAATCAATGGCATTCTTGGAGGACTGTGTGGATTGTGCTGCAGTCATGAGGAGGTAAGTAGTTTGCAGATATACTCATGCTTCTCAGATGAACATGTAACTTGTAGAGTTTTACTCAGCAGTTACTTTATAGGTATTTTGAGCAACAATTCCTTCTACAGTTGTTTCTATAGTCCAGTTGTGATTAGAACTTTCATGTAGTTTTGGATCACATGTTTTCAGCTGATTCCTCAACTGTCACAGTGATGTTAATCTGCCTGAGAGCTAGGAGCTAGAGGGCTTTTGTCTGTCCAATGACACATGCAATCATCACCACATTGCATAGGTGGTATAACTGAGATATGGATCTCCTGGTGGTTGTGGTCTTTGCCTAAATCATTCTTTCCATTAATATGTTTCTTTCTTTTTGTTCCCCCCCACAGACATATGTTTGCTAGAAAACCTGACAATGTATTGACATCGGTGCATGTGTGTGCTGCAATGAATATACTGTGTATTTTTTTAAAATATTCCAGGCAAACTGAAATACACATTGTTGTCAAACTCTGCTGTTACCACGAATTTAACTGACTTGGGGCCTCTGTTGTTGAAGTCATATGCAGGTTTTCCACTAACCTGCCTGAACTGAAAGGCACAATGTATCCTGAATATCTTTGGTTCATTTCATATTGGTACAGGCAACTGCCTTAACACATGTCACTAAAGTGGCTTTATTTATTTTTCTCTTTCTACTGACACAACAGCTCTGTACTTTGTCTTGTTTTCCCAATAAAGTTGATCTTTCATTCCGATCTTGGAATGAATACAAACCAAATCCAGCCTAGCCTGGATAAAAGGTTTTGGTCAGCTGGACCAAAACCAAAGCAGCAGTAAAATGTGGATGATTGAGGGTTTTCAGGATTTTTCTGAACCTCCCCTCTATTTCGCAAATAAAGATTTGTATTAAAAATACCCAGGAGGTGTCAGTGATTCCTTCCCTGCCCATGCTGAAACACTGTGTGCCTGACCTGGTCTTGGGGTAAAGGACAGTGGTGACATGAGAATATGGATTTAATGCAGTCAGGTTTTTCCTCTCTAGCAGGCTCTGCCAGAGTGGGAACTGCTTCCTTGCTTGGTTTGGCTCATTTAACTGAAACAGGTGTTTGTTCATCAGCAAGGGTTCAACAACAGCTCTGGGTCAGATACAGCAGCACATGTGGAGGCTTAGTCCTGGGTCAGGGCTGGTAGTTCTCAGCCAGGGAGCTGAGTGGGTCCCTGCACATCTGAGACCAGCTTAGCCCCTCCTGCCCTCTCAAGGGGGATCACCTCCTGATTGCTCCATGACAGGCCTGAGATAAAACAAGATGTGGGCATGACTCTTTGTTTTTTGCCTCAGCTACCCTCAGGCCTCACAGCGTTCAAGGAATACAGTCCAAATTCAGGTCAGTAAAGACAGATTAATCTGAAATACCTGACTTCACCAGTTATCAGGCTCAAGGCATTACTGTAAGGTCATGGGTAAGACCTCTGAAGTGTAGCTTGTTGCACATTAGAGTGAATGTTTCATCACAAGTACATCTGAATAATGTGCTGCCAACAGCATTGCTGACAAAACCAGCATGCCAGCATTGCTGCTGGCAATGGCATTTCTCAAGTGAAAACCAAAATGTGACATGATCTTTATCTCAAAGGAATGAGGCTCAGTTTTGGAATTTAGCTGTTCATATTGTCTTTGAAAACAAGCAAGTTAGTTTCTATTCATGGGAGAAAAAGAAGTTCCAATGGGTGTCAGTGCATGCTTAGTCTGTTTGTAACTAGGAGAGTGGTCCTTAAAGATACACCTGAAGTTTCTGGCTATCTCAGCCTGTCTGCACGGTTAAGTCTGCCCTGCACAAATACATACCTGAAAAAAGAAGTGAACTGTGAAAGCAAAATTGTCTATGTATATCTACACCAGCAAAAGAATTCTCGGATGAAAAGAGTTTGTATCTAGAATCTCAGGATACCTGAATTTTGCATGAGTACTTACTCATACCTAAATACATAGAAGTAGTTGAAGGACTTTAATGTCATTTAATGCCATTTCTTTGTAGTGTCTATCCCTGTTCCTGCCCTGCTATGGGAGGGAGGAAGGAGAATGTGTGCATGTGCGTATGTATACACACAAAATTCCTTGCAGCTGTGTGATACAGTGTCTTTGTGTGTGAAGATGCAGTTTTGAAAAAAATATCTGCAAATTTAAATGGGGTGTGGAAGGAGAAAAAGTGGAAAAGAAAGTCCTCAATGGAATAATGTATAACTACTATGTAACTTAAGGATTTTTGCCTTTATTCTTGCATAATGGTTATCTGCTTTTCTGGTACACACAATTACTTAAAGAACTGAAAAAAAATTTGCAATATATAGAATTCTGATATATAGATGATTAGGTTGGGTTTAGACTTGAAACTTCAGTACAAATGCATGCAGCACCAATAGATTCCTGTAGCCCTAATGCACAGCATTTCTGCTCACTATTTATATTGTCATGTAAAAAAATGCTGGATTATTTTGTTGTCTGGTGCACAAGACAGTGTTTTGAGATATTTATCAGTCACATTGTGAAGGAGTGATTGGTTTAGGTTGTATTCATATCAGCTGGCAGAGAAGTCACACAGAGTAAACATGACTTTTCTGTAACAGGCTTGGAATCAGTTCATGAACAATGACAGCAATGGAAAACCAGTGTTTGCGACATTTGGCAAGATGCTTGAGAAACTGGCTTACAGGTTTGCTTAATTCTTAGTATAAAGTAGTTGTTTCCTGTTCTAGTGCCATTGTGTGCCAGAAAAATAACCACACTGTAAACTGGTATTTGCAGAGCTCAGTTTAAAAACAAAGTCATAAAGCAGACTGCTGTACTGTAGAACAAATGCTACTTCAGTCATCATTTCTCAAGTTAGCTTCTTCTAATCAGAACAGGTTATAATGGAAATGGCATCGAATTTGATTATAGAATAAGATGCTTGCTACTAATTTTGGCCTTTGCTTTTAAGAAAATATTTCAGCCAATTCTATGATCTTTGGGTTCTGTACTAAAAAAATCAGTCATGGGGATTGGATGTGTGTGATTTTAATGCAGTTGTTTTCTCTGCTCTCTGTAGCGTAGTGTTGATGACATGAGTTCTGTCTCTGCCTATCAGTCTGGAAAGGCAGGTTTGCTACTAATTCTGATTAGAGGAAGACCTGGAAGAAAGTATCCATAGTGGTGAGAAAGTAAAACAGGAAATATGAGAACATCAAGAATTAGGACTTCAAAATGAAGCCTCCTAAGAAAAGAGGAGAGTCTCAGCAGAGAACAGGTAGAAAAATGGTGTAATTGTGTGAGTACTACCCTGCCCATTTCCTTGTGTGATCTCATATTAAGCAATGGTATGGAATTAGTTACAACATGCAATACAAACAGCTTATATGAGAGGATGAGAGAATGAGAGAAACCTCATGTGTAAAGAGCCTGAAACAGCTCACAAGGAAACATAAGGAAAATATGTTGGGATGTCATTGCTTCTAAAAACAGCCTTCCTGCTTTTGATAGAGGCCCCTTTTTTGTTTGTTTTGTGGTGATTTTTTTTTTTTTTTTTTGGTCCTCTGGCTGCAGCTTTGCTATTGAGTAAAGCATAAGGTCATTCTGGTGACTCAAAGGGGCATAAGACTGAAGGCTTGGGGTGTGCTGCAAGTGTTCAAACTGCCCTGGCTCTGTGTTACTGGGATAGTGTTTAGATGCTCAGAGGTTGGGGAATGATGACATTGACTATGGGAAAGCTGTCTGACTTTGGCTTTGCACAGTGCAAACAGCAGCCAGACCTTTTGTCCTGCACAAGAAGTCACATGTTCATAGATCAGGTTTGTAGCTGTGCAAGCTCAGCTGTAAGCACAGAATGAAACAATTGGAGAAATAGCAGGATTTAATTTGCAAAGCACTGGAACCACTGCCGTGAGAAAGAGTAGTTGATTATTAAAAGTGTGAAAATAAGTCTGCCTCACAGTTTCTAACCAGTGTTGTTTGGGCTTCTACAGTCTCTGCAAGATGGCCCAGACTCAGCCTGCTGTTGCAAGTCAGTAACTCACTGTTTCCCCCTTAGGGTCCTCTTAATAAATCTCTGTAGTATAAGGCAAAGTGTGGTCTTTTGTACAGAGACTGGGCATATTTATATTCTTACAGCCCCCTTCCCCATGCTGCAGTAAGGTTGAAAAACCTTGCTTCTGTCACAAACTACATTGTAGTTTGTGTTGTATGGAGGAGGACATTTTTCAGCAGTCACTAGGAAATGAGAGCTTTGTAGTTCCTTCCTGAATCTGACTCCTAGACAAATTTCATTTGGAAGATCACAAAGGAGGATCTTTTAGAAGGGAAATGACTACATTAAGACGTGTTTAACACAGGACAGTGAGTTTACACAGTGATATTCATGTGTTGCTCTGCTAACTGTTAAGGACTTCTGTTCCTGGAATCACACCCCAGTCACTAGTTCCTGTGAATATGTAATGACTGAATCAAGCTGGAGAGGTCAAAACATTTCTTATATTGAAGGTCTTGTAAACTTCTGTTAGCTTAGAAGAACAAAACTTCCAGAGTTCTTGAGAGATGGCTTTGGAGACATGTGGAAGCTGTTTGAGTTGCCTGCTGGTACCTCTTGCACTTTGGAGTATTGTTGTGAACATCCTCCTATACTTTCCAAATGGGAAAGCTCTGCATGCTGCCAGTTACCAGTTCCCCAGCCATGAGTGGTATTTTGAAGGCATCTGCTTCTCAGGTGTGATGGTAAGTGTGATGGTAAGTGCTCAGTCTATGGATTTTTAATGAATTGCATTCTACAGCAAATCATAGTGGATTACTCTTCAATAACGTAATTGCTTTAAAAAAAAAGACTATATGGATTACTTCAACAAAAACCTCTGCAGGCAGAAAACTCAATCAAACTGAAAAAAGTTAGTATACTGAATGACAAGTTATGTATGTTATTAAATGCAAATGATTTTGCAGGGTGTGTTGAGGTTTTTTTTCTGATGTCTTTTTGTTTATATGTAATTTATGCTTGTATTATGGAGGAAAACAGTATGTTGACTTAATCACCTGTGAAGGTTGAACTAGAGCTCTTTTACCCAAATGAAAAAAAAGAGCTTCTCTTAATGGTTCAAATGTTTTTAAGAGCTGTATGCTCTTAAAACTGAATTTAGAACTGAATTTAGAAGACTGAATAGATTTCACAATGCATCAGATACTACTGTTGTCAGACTAAATAGAGAGAATTGCCTCATTGTGATTAGTATAGTAGGATTTTCTCTGTTACATTTGTAATATGCTCATCTGCAGTAATAAACTACCATGGAGTTGCCTGCTGTTCATGCTCTTTACCATGTTCGTAAAGCGCTGTAGCGTCAGGAACAGAAAGCGGTTGTGTGACCAAAGTGCATTGCACACAGTCAGTACTTCAAGGGTTTATCTGCATAAGTGAGGTGTTTATATGAAGGTGCTGAACTATTTTTAAAACATTAGACATTCTTTTGAAATTGTATATTCTCTTTCAAGCAAAAGAAGAACCTCCAGTTCTAGCAGAAGAAAAAAACTACCACACAGAGGATTCAAACAGAAAAACAGTGGCAAATGTATTTTAAAAAGTTAACTACAACAATGGCAATGATATTTTAAAGCATTTTTAGCCTTAAGATTATTACCAATTCCTTAAAAATGCATGTATCGTTCTGTTATAAACCAGTCAGCAGTATATGAGAGGATAGTGCTGTGATTCAGGAATATTCTCTTCTCATACTTCCCTTTTCAAACCTATGCCTCTCTGAATGGCAGTTTGTGGTTCTGGAGCCCAGATCCTATGTATAAAAATTATTCTAGGATCAGGCTTAAATAACCCAATAGTCTGAAGAAATCAGTATGGATACTTGACAAATGAAAGTCTGGGTGAATTTAATCAAAAGTTTGCATTTCTGACTTTTTCTAGAGTGAATGTGTTGGTAAGGAAGGCGGTACTCTGATTTGTGTGCGTGTGTCAGCAAGAAGGTGTTGAACTGATGTGTTTGTATCAATAAAGTATCCTTCTTTTTATTGGTATTGATTCTTTTGTTTGTGACTTTGGTTTTATAGTTTCAGCTTCACTGGTGTAGCTGTGCCCAAGGTCATAGCACTTTACTGTGGTGGTAGAGACTGTACTCTTGTCTTTCAAGTACAAGACACAAGTACACCACCAGCCTCCTAAAACCATTCCAGTTCCATGTATGCCTTAAGTAATTGTGCTGTCTTATGGATCAGCTTTAAAATATCAAGACAGCAGAAGAGAGGCCAGTCCCTACCTTCCAAAGATGAAGGAGACTTTGGCTTAGTATCTCCAGTTATCTCACTGACCTTATGATGTCCTCTTACAGATCCTTCTTTTGGCAGTAATTCTAATAACACTGGAGTGTAGTGTGTTCTATCGATGCTGCCAGAGTGAGAGCTGTAACAAAACCTACAGGGTGAGTCTGTGTTTTATTTCTGTGCATCACCTTAGTATTTGTTTCCAATGCCCTCCTGCTCCTGCTCCAGCACATCCTGCTGCCCTCTCCACTGCTCTGTTTTCACTTCCTTTCACAGAGGATTCTAAATTGGGTTGCAAGGTCACAGAAAGTGTAGCTTCTTTCAACTCAAGCATAAGCAGGATGAAAGAAAATTAGACACACACTTCCCCCAAATCCTTGCAAAATAAAATAAGAACATAGAATGAAGCATACCAGCTAAATAGCTTCATCCCTTCACCTGTATTATTTGGAAGTGTTTTTTTTTTTTTTTCAAAAATCACTCAATACACTCTATCTGAGATGCAGACATAATTAATACACAGCTGCATTCCTCTGGTATTTTGGGAAACAACTTTATAAAAACACAAGTTTAAAAACTACACCCAAATAATATATAACTTATAGTTGTAGAACTGTCTTAAACTCTGTCTTCATCTTTATTTTGTATGTGTATTCTTACTATTTTTTACCTGCTATTTTTCTTTCTGGGTTTTGAAGACTGGGAAAATCAAATGTGAAATTCAGCCCCAAGGAAGTAGCTAGACAGACTGAATGATCATATTTGCTGTTGACACTATTCCCACAAGGTAATACTTCTCTCTCTCTTTACTTCAGAGTTTTATATCTATTGTGCTAGCCCTGCTTGGAATTGCATTCTCGGGATACAGTTGCATCATTTTTACCCTACATTTGATTCAAGGCCCTTTCTGCAATTCATCAAGTGGATGGAATTATATTTTCAAAGACACTGCTGGGGGGTAAGAAACATTGGTGTAACTCTTCTGAAAGAAATTGTTTACCAAATCAGTAGTCAGAAACATTCTTCTTACTTCAGCCTGGTATTTCTCTAACAGGTACCTCACAGATTATCCTTCCTGGTCTAAGTGCAAAAACCCTGCAAACATAGTGGAGTGGAATATCATTTTACTCTCGATTTTGATAGCTCTCAGTGGATTGCAGCTGATCATCTGCATTCTCAAAGTAGCCGCTGAGTTGAAACGAACGCTCTGTGGGACCTATTCTGTTTTTGTGCAGGTAACAAAACATCTGAGGTTTATTTCTTCAGCATCTCCTTGTCATTGTAGCTTCAGCAATTTCTCTCAGCTGGGGACTTACCCTTTTGATTTATGCATTCTCTATGCTACAGCATATGTTTTCCAGAGAATATGTACTGATAATACATATGTTTGTTTTGATTCATCCATTAATTTTTTGTGGTATACAGAGGCTGGTGGCTGCTCACTCTGACCTTTAAGACTAGTACAGAGAAGAAAAAAAAGTGGTTAGGAAATTAACATAGATGCCAAGCCCATTACTATTATGTCAGCAGAGGTTGTTGAACACCTTTATTCTAACATTCAATTTACAGACATTCTTACTAATGTGTGGCTTTCACAGCAAGGATGAGAAAGATTAGCTTTTTTTTTTTTTTTTTTTACTTGCAGGCTCGGATTCTCTGAAAATGGCAAAGAAATTGTTGCTGCTTCTCCCCCATCCCCAGAAGAAGAGAGAAATGGCCTCTCCATAATCCATAGCAGTAGATTTGAGTGCTACAATGAAAAATGATACCCTTGTCCTAAATCTCTGTCCATCAAACTTCTCTGTTTTGGATGAAGCATATTTGAGCTGTCTGACATCTACATTTTTCTTCACCTGTCCTGTTGCACTTGGCAGGGACACGTCATTTTTTTACCCTTCAGCTTGTTGTGACAGTAGGGATGTTTTAATATAATGGAACTGCTTTTGTATTGAAATCACCTTATTGTTTTTTCTTAATAAGCTGCTGTAGAACTGCTTATGTACTCCCTTGTCATTGCTTAGACCATATGACTATTTGTTGTTTTGAAAGGGCCTGGTTCAAAGCCTAGTACATCAAGAGGGATTGTTAGTGCACTGAGTGAAGCCATGATTTCTAAATGAATGAATTTTGGTTACAGACAGACCATGATGGCAATCATGGAAGGAGGTAGGCAGAGCTTACCCTTCTCCTTCCATCTTAGAAGTTCATAACTGCAAAAAGCAATTACAGAAAAAAGTCTATCAAGTCTTTCTGTGGTAAAAAAGGCACCTGGGCCTGATTGGTATATTAGACACACAGGTCTGAACTCAGCTGTGCTAGCTGGTACATGCTAATATTTGCACTGGGTTTCTTTACACTTAGGGGCAATTTTTTTCCTTTTAGTCAAGTATGATGTGAATTGAGGGAATAAATGAGGGAACCTTGTGAGCACCCAGTGCTAGCTTATTAATATTCTTCCAAGTATCCTGACCTTGCTACAATGAAAGGCTAACATTCTCGACAATACTGATTAGATGAAAAAGAATAATCTATTTTAAATTAGCAGCTAAAAGGTATTTTTACTTTCTCAGGGAATTATTTTTTTCATTCTCAGTGAAAATTCAGGGATTCATAATGAAGTGGACACCTGGCTCATTTGCAGTTGCAATGGCAGCATTTGGCTGTATTTAGCACTATTTTGGTTTTTTTAAAGTTTTTTCCTCTGAACACTAAGAGGAAAGAGAACTATGTACTTCACACTTGCAGTAACGCATGTATGCCTGTTACATCAGAACTAATGCAACTCAGGTGCATTGTCATCAAATACTAAATACAAACTATACAATAAGTGTCAGCTTTGAGTAAATTATTTAGGAAAAAATAGAATATATCAGTCATTTAGTTCTATTTCAAGACGATATTGAGGTTTTGCCTTCATATTCCTTTGTCAGATGGTTTTAAATACCTGATTTCTTCCTGTAGGATTTCAAGAATGCATCTAAAATTTTAATTGCTTAGTTTCTTTTAAGTTGCAAGAAGTATAAAGTAATTAATAATACGTAAGAATGGGGCTAGTCTTCTGGGAGATGGTTCAAAGTGGCATGGATTATCAGGGGTGCATGATACAAAGGCATGATCATAAAATAAGGACAGTGCCATTGCACACTTGTTTTTCTCTAGACTTAAATATGTGACATATCATTTACTTTAAATTATAATCCTGAATTTTTATGGATTTGTAGGTGTTGTTTGTGGACAGAAGGAAAAGAAAGAAAACTTAAAAATCAACCTGTACTCCTACCAAACATCTCAGAGACTCTTGCTGATTTCTTGCTTACAAACTCTGGATCTGTCTTTATCAATTTTTGTGTGATTGTGCCTGGTGAATTTACATTTCCACTCTATCACAGACATCTCTTAATTTTGGGCCTTAAATTAAATAAAGAGACATGTAATGTAGTTCTTGCTTGGCTTCCTGATCCTGCAACCCTTTTTATCCATAATCCAGAATCTGGCATCTCCATTACCATAGCCAGCTTCAACTGCAGCTTGGTGGTTCCGCTTTTAAAGATGCAGTTTATTGACTTGAAATTGTTAAGAATACTAAAGGCTAACAGTGGGCTGTATTTCCAAATTTAACAGCCAGTTTCACACAAGGCTTTTGGATGTAAAGCAATGCTAACCTTGATCTAATCAGTTTAAGTCCTGATTCAATCCTAAGTATTTTGTCTTTAAAAAGTGGTGCTATGAGCTGTGTCTGGTAGCAGAACCAAGACTCCTGCAAAGAATTTTAATTAACTGGCTTGAAATCTAGACATAACCAATGATCCTGATGGTGGTGTTTGAGGCAATGTGACTGTCCAGCTGCAGAACACAGACCTCACTCAACAACAGGGAGAAGTGGCCCTCGGGCCAGGACAAGGCTTGCGCCATGCTGGAATGTGGAGAAACCCTTCTTTGCGCAAGAGTTCCTGGACATGAAATGCACACCCTGCCTGCTGAAATCCCCACATAAAACACCCCAGGCACAGGAGAAAGAAAGCTGCAGATATGAGTTCATAAGCTCCTGGCAGAGAGGAATTAGTGCTGAATCTGCAGTAAGAGTTCAAGCATTATTTGTTCCCCACAGCCAGTGCATTTTGCCAGAGTACCAGGATTCTGTGTCTGGGACAGTAATGCCATTCATTCAAAAGACTGCTGGTGGAATTCACAGTAGATATTCAGTTTTGTAGTAAAATATTGTGGAGCCTCATCCACACATTTGCATTTTAAGGTATATTAATATTTGTTTAGGTAAAGGTGACTCTTGCTAAACTGCAATTTCCTGATTGTTCCCATTATGGATAGAGAGGTTTTCCACATAGAGCAGCAAAGGACAAATGAAGCTGCACCAGCTCTTTGAATAGTGTTTAACTGCAGAGGTTTACAGGCAGCCTGGGCAGCAGGCAACACATCATTCACATGCGGGAATTGTGAAATGGTGGGGGTTCAATTCAGTCTCACTGTGTGAGCTTATGAATTATATATATTATATGATTATATATGATATGCATAGCTTATGAATATGAACATATGTGTGACCTTTTGTCAGAATATTCCATTTGGGGGGTTATTTATTCTTTTCTTTCAAGGATAATTTTGGAAGTAAAATATTTGCTTTATTTTTCAATTCAATTTTGGGGATTTCAAAAGCAGTCAGAGTATGTTAGCATCCTCAATATGAGAAATTAGGTACTATGGTTTAAAACAATTAAGGAATATTAATGACATGAAACTGCAGACTCATAATTTAAGAAATTAAATAGGGTCTTTTTATTTAGGTCCTGAGAGAAGCTCCTGCTTTTCAGACACCTTCTGAAGATAAAACAGACTTCAGAAGCTGAGGTACTTTTGAGTTCCTTAAGAAAAAGATAAGAGGAGTGTGTTTAGGCATACAGATAATCTGAAAGTTTGGGGGAGGTACGATTAAAAGCAGGAGTGGAAATATTGCCTGTCAGAAGTTTTTGTTATATTTTTACATAAGAAAAATATTCAGTTCTTTTGCAAATCAAGGAACAGTAACTTAGAATATTCAGGGGTGTAGGGCAAAGTTAAGCATATATTTTTACCCTCAAATAAATTTGGAGATTTCAAGGGTATTGCTTGTGTTTTTTCTCTTCCTCAATCAAATGGAAATCTGAACAAAAATATATAAAAAAACCTACATACTAATGAGCAATTTATTTATGAATGAATGACTTTGAATCAAGGTATTTTAACAGGAGGTAAAAGTTTTCTTGTTTTTGCTTCACTTAATTTACAGATGGGGTATATGCAACCCCAATTAGCTGATATTTACACTGCACTACTTATCTTCATCTGTGGCAAAGGAAAAAAAGTCCACAGAAATAATTTTGAACATGGGACATCAACCTGTGAAACTCCAGAATTTCATCATAGATTCGGGCAGATTTCAAAATCTCAGCTTTGGCTTTGTCATTTAGAGAGAAGTAGAATCCTTCATTTAATCCAGATGTGTAGAAATATGAAGAAATCAAATATTCTGACAGTGATTGATAGGAATAGTGATTAAAATTTGTGAATTATCTTATATTGTAATCCTGGTGAACAAGACTTAGATTTTTATGTCATTAAAGGAAAACTGCTATATTTTGGTTATATTCTGAATCTTAGTCTTCTATCCAAAATAATAATATTTTTTCTGCCCAGTATTAGAATAGCTGCAAAGGATATCCTGCTTATTACAGATAATTTTAAGTTGCCATACAATGGAAAATTGTAATTTTAATTTAGAATGAGTGCAATTGTGTCATTGCTCAGACTACAGATGACATTTTTTGAGAATTCCCAAGTGACTGAAAACACATATTTTTTAATAGAAGTTTGCAGGCGGCTTTGTATGCCTAAAGCTTCAGACATAACCACCTTGTGATGGATGTATCCTCAAAAAAAGTGCCATTGCAATCATTAGTTAGGTGGTTTTTAAGTGTTCCATGTTTAAGATCCAATTTTGTTATTATTTTTCAGTGAGACCAAAACATTTACAGAACTTGAATAAAGCAAAAGAAGCCTTTGGCACTGGGTAGTGCATTTAGATAATGGTAACGGTTAGTTAAGATTATCTGGATGTTATGTTTTAATCATTGAAGAATGGGGCTTATCCTGTCCAGCAACAGATTAGGAGGAAGATAACATAACAGAGTCATTTTGTGGAATTTCTGAGTCTCATCTCTTCAATACTAAAACTGCTTGGAAAGGGGATGCAAACCTCCCTACCTCCATCCATGAATAGCTGGTCATTTCCCTCTCTAGCAATATGTGCCACACTGTGCTAAAGTTACATCTCTAAGGGAACTGTGGTGGGTAGCAGAGCTAACCCAAGCATGCATGGTGGGCACACTGGTCCCAGCGATCTCAGTCCTCCCTTTTCTGCTTGTGCCACGCCAGACTGGTGGTATAGGCACGGCTTGGGCTCCCTGTGTCAATGCAGAACAGATACATAAGGAAAAAGTGTCACTTAGCATTTTTCAGTCTGCTTGAGAAATTGTGTTCTTGTGCCACATATCATAAGTTTATTTTCTCAGTAGTAAACAAGCTGTAGAGAGAGTGATGAAGATAGTGAAGAATGTAATGAAGCTTAAGTCTGTAAATCCATTTAAATCTCCTTTCACTTCAGTGACAAAATTTGCACTCTAAGACAATCTGAATGCTATTTTGTGTGATTGTAGGTTGGCAGATATAGAAAAAATTTCTTTGCTTTTCTGAACTGAGGAAGTTACCAGAATCTTTTGTTTGCTCTTGTCACACAGACATTGTGCAATTGCTTTTATTGTTTCTACAAAAGCAAACAGGAGCAGGGAGGGGGAGGTAAGGATGTGGGGAGTAGGAGAGATAGGAACATATAAAAGGAAATTGCATGTGCCTGTTATGTGTTTTCATCCCATGTTTTCCACAAGGTCCATGAATGCAAAATGAAGCTATTCCTCCTAATCTGCTTGCTGGTTTCTTGCTGTTGCCGCGCTGGGGCAGTGAACCGGGAGTACTATATTGGCATTACAGAGACTGTCTGGAACTATGCACCTGGCAATACCAGTGCCATCTCTGGACAGCTTTTTGCAGAAGAAGAGTAAGTAAAGCAATGTCACTGGGTGAGTTTTATTTTACAACTTCATCTGGTTTAGACACCAGGGCTGAAAACCTGGTGAAGGCAGTGAAATGAATGTTGGTGTCAGTGGGTTTTCTATCAAACATATAAGGGAATTCTGATTTTTTTTCCTGGCTTGCTTGAGAATAGCATTCCAATGTTCTGCTAATTCAAAGCATTGAAATATGCAGTAGAGTGTGAATTTGTTGTAATGAAATATTTACTAAGTAGAGGCTAGAATAAGACCCTGAATGTCTAATGGTGTATAATTTTGAATGTATAAGGTGCTAGTGCTGAAGAGATTATTTTTGCTTTCAAATGCAGAATTGACAAATTTAAAAACAAATTACAAATTTAAAACATTCCTACTGAGCACAGGTTTTCTTTTTAGTTATTCATTGTCAGCAGGGATGGTTTTCACTGGTGCAGAAGCACAGCTGGGTATTTCCACCCACAGTGGAGGAGCTGGGTTGCTTGTTACAAGGCAAAGAGGGTCCTGAGCAGAGTGAGAGCAGTAAGTAGGCTGAAGATATGTAGGGTGAGGAGGGGGGATGCATTCTGGAGGTCTGAATAATCAATAAAGAAAATCCAGATATAAAAGGCATCAGAAAAATATTTGAGAGAAGAAAACGTTCCTTTCTTCTCTTTGTTTTCAGTGTCTTTAAAATTATATGGGAATGTATCAAAGCAGAAACAATGATGAGAGAAATCAGAAATTAGAAAATCAGAAATATCAAAAATGCATTTCTGGATGAGGGATTACAAGATTTCCTGTGGTTTGTTTTCTTTAGTGAGAGCCACAGTCATAACCAGCCACTCAATCAGGTGTGAGATTAAGCAGTTAGCTTTTCATTTTTTCCACTCACAAACTTTGTGAGGCGTAAGACACTGCCAGGCATTCAGCAGGCTAGTAATTCTGATCGGGGGTGGAAACAGGGCATCCTGTCTGAGAATGGCAGAGCTGTGTTGTAATACAACAAACCACTGCTGTTCACTGCACTTTCACTGCTTTCCCCTTGTCTGTGGCGACGTGCAGCACGCTACATTAATTTCAGGTTTTCAGTGGTTGTATGCCTGCAATGGAGCCAGTCCCTTGTATTATACTTTTCAGTTTCAGCTTCTCTGATTCCCCTTCTCCTCCTGGATGCTTTTTGAGGGTGTGCTTGTAGAGATTGATGCTTATAGGGGCAGGGAAAAACACAGTGCAGAAGGAAGAATCTACAACTAAATGGTAGCTGTTTAAATGGTCCAAGAAGAGCCATACCATACATGTTCGATTTAGGTTGCAGCTCAAGAGCCTCCTGCACTCAGAATTATAGTAACTGAGCCTTTTCTCTCCAAGTGGAGCTCTGGACTTGCATTTGAATTACACTTCAGACCTGCACTTGCCAATGCACCTACAATTCCTTCCCCATGTGCTCAAACAATACTCCACCTAGTAGAAAACGCTTTGCATTTTTGGGCAGTATTAACTTATTTCACCACAAGGCTTGCATGTAGTTGTGCACAGCACTGCAGAGACCTGGTCTTTATTTTAGACTATTAATTAAAAACCACATGGCAGATGCATTTGTGTATTTTCTTTACAGGCAGGCTGAAGTCTTTCTCAAAAGAGGACCACACAGGATAGGAAACACTTACAAGAAGGCTATCTACGTTCAGTATACCAATCATTTATATGACGTGATAGTTGACAAACCTTCCTGGCTGGGTTTTTTAGGTCCTATAATTAAGGCAGAAGTTGGAGATTCCATTACTATTCACTTGAAAAACTTTGCTTCCAGAAACTACACACTGCATCCACATGGTGTAAGATACACAAAAGAAAATGAAGGTAAGCTTGATTCCATTCTGGACCAGAATTTATCAAAAGTTAATCATCCCTCTGAGTGTAAGTGGTATTCTTCTGTCAGAGAGAAGACTGGGCAAGTAAAAAGAGATTTAAACTGGGACACAATCAATTTAAAATAGGAGCTAAATTTGATAATTTTTCAAGAATAGAATACAAAGCCAAAAGTGGAATTTGTGAATGAGGCAATTTTAGATCAACATTTTACCTGAAATAAGAATATTTGTATTTCAACCAAAGTAAGGGTATAAAGTTATATAAAAGATTCAGGTATGAAGGATATATAAAAATGTGATGCTGCGAGGAAGACATTGTTAACAGTAACAATGTACTGCTCCAAATTCTTAACACTAAATTCATGTATATGGTATATAAGATACACAAGAATTTCTTAAAATGGGTAAACAGATACTGCTTAGTAATTTGTTTTCATTACAATTAGCATGTGCTGTGATAGAGACACACTCTGTCAGATCAAAACAGTGTATGGTTATGTAACAGTATGTATATTTTTCAGAATTTTTTTCTGTTGCTATCATTCCAGTAACACCTATATTCCTTCAGGGCATATGCATTTTTTTAAAGCAGTTTCCAAGATTAATATTTAACAAATGTTTTACAAATATTTGAATTGTAATCTTTTTACAAGAAGCACAAAATCCCCTCTGAATAAATTAATGGGCCATTAATTGAAGTACTCTTATAGACTTCAAAAGATTCCCAAAGAGAAAGAAAATATCTACTCATCTGATTTAAAAGTTGTGGGTTTTTAACCTGTATTCAGATGTTAATTCCGTTTTGCTGCAGCATGTAGTCAACTTTCAGCATGGCAGGTGCTATCCTAACACACTCTTGTGAATGTGTTGTGCTAATGTTGACTGTGTGGAATTCTTCAGGTGCTTTTTATCCTGACACTACCAAAGATTTGCAAAAGCAAGATGATGCCGTAGAGCCTGGAGGCCAGTACACTTACACATGGGATGTGACAGAAGATCAAGGTCCAGCTAAAGCAGATGCAGACTGCATAACCAGGGCTTACCACTCCCACATAGATGCTCCAAGAGATGTTGCCTCAGGGCTTGTTGGGCCTTTAATAATTTGCAGGAAAGGTAAACCATAAAGTAAACCATAAATAAATGAGTAAATATAATACATATGCAAGGTGATTGATAATTATCATTGATAAATATCAGTGAAATTAGTTCCCTGAAGAGGAGAAGATTACAATTGATTTTGAAATAACTGCTTTTGGTCTTTTCAATCAGCTGCCTTCAATAGTGTAGGAAGTAGTTTGATTTTCTGTATGAGAATCAATGTAATTTGCAAAATACTTTGTTCACAAATCTGTATGAGTGAGATGTGCTTTGCTAGCAATGTGCAAGGAATCATAAATACTTATATAAGAAAGAGATTAATATGCAATATTTATGTTTGGTAATTTTGTTGAATCTATCAAAGGGGATTTTTTGTTTCTTAAGTGTGTCTGTAAGTTTATGTATACAGTCATGCTCAAGAAAAGTGTCAAAATATGAAGTAAACAGGGTCCAACCCTATTGAGACTAGAGTTAAAACTGACAAAAAAAATTAATGTCAGTTACCAAAGATTTTGTATATACCACTTTATTTTTCAGATACAATGAATAGGGACACTGATCAACACTTTGATGCTGAATTTATCCTTATGTTTTCTGTGGTGGATGAAAATCTCAGTTGGTATCTAGAGGACAATATCAGAACATATTGTTTTGAGCCTTCCAAAGTGGACAAAGATGATGAGGACTTCCAGGAAAGCAATAAAATGCACTGTGAGAGAACATTATATCAATGTTGTTTGTCACTGATTTCGTGAAGTAATATTTTTCTGTCTTGTCTCTTTTAAAGAAGAATTGTAGAATTATTTTTTTTTTAAAGCAGGGATTTTTCTTAGAGGATTAAGACATATTCTTTTAAATAAAAATTTAAAAATTAAAAAATGATGGCAAGTATTGTACAATCAAATCTTTGGAGTTGTGATATAAAATTCTTAGGGCCACAAAGGTCTTTGCCAGTGTAATTTTCCCAGGCATTCTAAACACAGATGTGTTACTTTGTTCTGCTTCTCAGTCCTGAGCTCTGTACTATAATTTCATAGTTTAGAAAAACAGTTCTTACTGTTAATATAAACAAATAAGATACCTCTGGCTCCGGCATGTATTCCAGAATCATAGCTATGTAGAGGAAGCGTGTGTCTGATGCTGGCAGTGATTTTCAAAGGTGTGGAACTTTCTTTTGAAACTCTTTCTATTTTGAAGAATAGAGAAATTGGTTGTATGATACCTGCATTTGAAGAAAACTTCTAAGGTCTGTGAAGTTAACTCTAACAAATAACATTTCTTTTAGCAATCAATGGGTACATGTATGGATACCTCCCAAACCTCACAATGTGTGTGGAAGATAAGATAAAATGGCATCTTTTTGGCATGGGTAATGAAGCTGATATCCATTCAGCCTACTTTCATGGACAGACTTTAATAGAAAGACATCATCGAGTTGACACCATCAGCCTCTTCCCAGCCACATTCATTGATGCTGTCATGGTACCAAGGAGCCCTGGGGAATGGCTGCTCAGCTGCCAAGTGAATGACCACATTGAAGGTACAGTACAAGGTTCAGTGATCAGAATTTCTTTAGCTTGAGTTAAGAGTTTATTGAGTCACTTTTGCAGGGCTCTTGACCTGGTGGTATGCCAGGTAGTATTCTCCTCTAGGTAAAAAAAACCTCTCAGAGTAATTGAAATACCTACAAGTGCATTAGATGGATTTGAGCCTGTAGCCATGGGAATCAAGGGATTCTTTTCTCTAATGGACACCATCATCAGCTGGCAGCAATTAGACCAGCTGCATTTTTGCAAGCCTCGCCTTTGGGCAAAAAAACGGCATGTCATTTGCCTCCTGCTGGAGATAACTAACCACAATTTTCTGTTTGACAACAAAAAAGTTGGGGCTCATTCCATCTTTGACAAGGGGCACAGAACAGGCAGGCTAACTTGCCTGTTGACAAATACATGTTCTGGAGAATGCATTCATGAATCAGCAGAGGTGTTCATTTCTTTTCCCTGTATTATCCTGTATTTTCAGTTGTAATAGCCATATTAAATGCTTAGAAGCTAATTCCAGGCTTTTGAATGGAAGTGAGAGAAGTGATTTGTCACAGAAGTGGGAAAGAACACGGAACTGAAAATCATTCTCCATTATTTGAAAACTCCAAAATAAAAAGAAGTGTGTAACCTACAGATTCGATTACACAGAAGTTCCAAGCTTTATCAGATCAAGTAATATCCTGATATGGCCGAGGCATTCTGGCCAAGACTTAAACCCCACAAATTGGCCTGATTTATAGCTGTAAAAGGGCTCTCTTCATTATATTATTTGTGTCTCCAGCAAGCAGATTTGCTAACTGCTTCCCTTAGGATGCAGACTTGGGAGTTCCACAAGTAAGTTGTTGGTTATATTTAGATAGAGAATGTTCATTCTGGTAACGTCCAGCCTTGGCTGAATGGTTCATGGACAGCACTGTGTCCACTCTACCCTAATCTTCTCTGCCATGCCCATTGCAGCTTTACAAGCAGAATGCCCTTTACCACACCTGTCTGCCTGCTGTGGATACCACGGCTGTGTTTCTATATCCTAGCTCAGCTGGCACACCTCCATCTATAGCATTTATCTTCCACTTTGTGATTTGCATATCCATCAATGGTGTGGGGATTGTCCAGACAACAGAAGAGCTGTTGGATGCAGGGAAAGAGAAAACAAAATGCAGTTCCTTCTCCCTAGGTTTCTCTACCTCTTTTTTTCCAGGTGGTATGCAGGCCCTTTTTAAAGTAGAAGATTGTAAGAAATCCACACCAGGTCACAGTGAGAGTACAAAGATAAGACAGTACTTCCTTGCTGCTGAGGAGATCATCTGGAATTATGGCCCATCTGCAGTGAACCATTTTACAGGACAAGAATTAATTGTTGACAGGTAAATGCCTCTAATTAAAGAAGTTTTATTTTCCAAGAATTGATTTAAGCATGCTAATTAAGGTAAGCCATATGGTAGAGCTGACTTTTAAGCATAATTGCTCATTGCCCTCATCTGTGCTTAAATATTAGTGCTAGAATAAATATCAGCCCAAATTAGGTAATTTGTTTTCCTTGTAATCTTTCCTTAAATTTTGCTGCTATGTTAGTTATTTCACTGGGATTAAGATTAATTTTTTATGTCATATATAGGCTGTGACTCCTGATTGTTCAAGATGGTTGATTATTCTGAGTTAGGGAACAAAGCAGGAGATCATGACCATTGCCTTAGATGATGAAATTCATGCTAACCGTATCTCATCTAGGAAACAGATTGCATGAGATAGCTTTGTCCTTTACACTGTGCTTCCATATTTAAGACCTGGATACACTGAATACGTTGATTCCTCAAGTTTTTCATCTGCTTGCTCTTCCACAAGCAATGAGGCAGAGTTTGAATATTCAATGTTTGAATAGTGCTTGGAAAACACGGAAAGGTCCTTTCTTAAAGACTAGAAGTGTTGACTGAATCTTCTCACTTTGTCTATAGATGTTACATAGTCTTGGCGTTCGTATCTGCTCCTGTTGAATTTTTGTAACTTCTAATTAGAAGAAGAGTAAATCCAAGGTTATTAAATGTTGACTAGAAATCATCGTTAATGAGTCTCTAATCTTTGTAAGGGCAACTCAGCAGTGGCTTTTTCTTAATGAGAAGATAGTGAAGGATAATGGATTCCTGCACATCTTCTACACCACTGCATATAAGTGTGTGACCATACCACTGAAAAGAAACCCAAAAGACAAACTCAGCATGCCATAGCTCTGAAAACAGGGTTGAGGTCTGACTGCTTTTTTACAATTGAGCATTTTGATTTGAAGCATTTGCATCTCTTGCAATTTCTTTTACACAGTGAATCTCACATCTTTTTTGAACAAAGTGAGACAAGAATTGGTGGCTCCTACAAAAAAGCAATTTACAAAGAATACACAGATGATTCTTTCACTGAATATAAAAAAAGACTTGCAGAGGAAGCTCACCTTGGACTCCTAGGTAAGAGAGTCAAAATTTTTTCATGTCAAAGATTTATGAGAGTAAATAGTCACTTCCACTGGTTAGTGAGCAGTGCCTCCACCTCCAAGGAGAAGCCCTTAGCTCTCCCTGCCTCCAGCAGTCACTAGTGCCTGTGGTTTCCCCCAAGTTGTTATGAAGCTCTTGAATGCAACACTGTCATGGTATCCAGCTTCCCTGTAGGAGCATGCCATGATCTCCAAAGGTCAGGCTCTTAATTACCAGGCCAGGCTAGGCAGATCTAGTTCTATTGATAACCTTGCTGCTCCTGGCATGGGTTGGTGCTAATGTCTGTATATCGCTTTCCAAAGGGAAGAAACTGTCCTGAAAGTCACTGGGCCTCCATGTGAACTGGGATTGGTTGCTGCTGGGCTGTTGTGTGATTCAGGCTACGTGCCAGGGACCTGGTCTGTGGCCACAGAGGCCCAGGGGCATTCCTCATGTAAGGGAAAAAGCAGCCAGCCACTGAATGCCATAAATTTGTGGTGACCATGTAATAGAAATATCCCATAATTAGACCGTGTAAACTTTTCCAGGACCTGTGATCAGGGCTGAAGTGGGTGAGCGCATCAGGGTGACCTTCCGGAACAATGCCAGCCGCCCGTTCAGCATCCAGCCCCACGGCGTGAGCTACCGCAGGAGCGCGGCCGGGGCGCGCTTCGGCACCGCGCCCGCAGGTGAGCCGCGGACGGGGCTGCCGCACCTGAGCGCTCACCGCCTTACCTGCCCACGTCTTACAGGTGAGAAAGGAAAGAATGTGCACTTGGCATAATTCTTAATGCTGATTTCTGTAATAGGTACCGAATCTCCAGCCTCTCACGTGAATCCCGGCACCACATTTACATATGAATGGGATGTGCCAGAAGATGTGGGTCCCACAGAGCAAGACCCAGACTGTTTAACCTGGCTTTATTACTCAGCTGTGGATGCAGTCAGAGACACCAGTTCTGGCCTTGTGGGTCCTCTCCTAGTGTGCAGGAAAGGAGCTCTGCTTTCTTCTGGGAAACAGGTCAGTCAAAGAAGAAAAATGGAAACATATGCGTCGTCACAGCTGAATCTGCTTTCTCTTCCCAGACTGCACCACCTCCTCTCCACATTACAGTTTCACTGATGTCCTAAGGGGAATAAACAACATGAAGAAAGTGGGTTTCCAGTATCTGGCTCCAGACAGACAGATACTGCTATGTGAAAACACCATTGTCATAAGCAGCTGCTGGCATTCAAGTCTCAGCTATGATGAGAATCTCTAGAAAAATGTAGAGATTTTAAAGATCAAATACAATCTCACTTCCAGAGGTGGTCCCTGCAGATAGAATGAACACTAGCAGTAGATACTTAGTTACCAGATACAGCAATTACAGAGCTTGGAGATTATCAGAATGAAGTATCAAGATTATCAGAATGAAGAATCTATTTTGTGACTTGTACTGATAAATTATTACAACATAGGATTTTTTTCCCCTGACATTTTCTGTTCATTCATTTCTATTTTCCCTTCTATTTCTTCTCAACAGAAAAATGTGAACATGGAGTTTTTTCTACTTGCCACAGTATTTGATGAGAATCTGAGCTGGTATTTGGATGATAATATTTTGATGTTTACACTAAGTCCTGATAAAATTGACAAAGAGGATGAAGACTTCCAAGAATCTAACAAAATGCACTGTAAGAAAACTATAAGTTAGTGAAATATTAATTTCTGCAGTAAGGTTTTTACTTTAATGTTTTCATGTTTGAGGCAGGAAAGCTGTATAGTGCAGAGACATTTCATTCCTTTCCAGTGGAAAAAAACCCCAAATATTTCAGTGCAATTCAATTTCAACCAAATGTGGTAGTTCAAAGTATAATGCCAGCTGCTCAATGTGTTGCATGGCAGTTGAGGATTTAGCATGGTTATGTACAACTTTGAGCAGATAGAAGGAGGAGTTAGGTCTTCAGCCTGTATGCAGTGACTATGAGTGCAACCAGTCAGCAAGACAAAACTGACCTCTGCTTTTCAGATCGTGTAGCTGAAAAGAAGTTTTTCACAGAGTTACAGAGAACTTGAGGCTGGATGGGACCTCTGGAGGTCACCTGGTCCAACACCCTGCTCAAGTAGGGCCACTCAGAGCCACTTGCTCAAGACCATGTCCTGATGACTTTTGAATACCTTCAAGGATGGAGGCTCCACCATTTCTCTGGGCAGCCTCTGCCAGTGCTTGGTCAGCCTCACAGTGCTTCCTGATGTTTGGAGGGAACCTCCTGTGTGTCACTTGGTGTCTGTTAGTGTTAGTAGGGCTTCTGTCCCTATCACTGGGTACCACTGGGAAGAGTCTGGCTCCATCCTCTTGGCACTTTCTCTGAAGCTGTTTGTACAGGTGGGTGAGATCCCTCAAGCTGCCCCTTCTTCAGGCTGAAGGGTTATCACAGCTTCCTCAGCCTTTCCCTGCAGGAAGAAGTGCTTTCTTGTCCCTTCATCATCCTTGTGGCCCTTTGTTGCCCTCTCTCCAGTGTGTTTATGTCTTCCATACCGGGGAGCCCAGAACGCAGCACAGCCCTCCAGGTGTGGCCTCAGCAGCGCTGAGCAGAGGGGAGTCCTCTCCCCCGATCTGCCAGCTGGACTTTGCCTCAGAATGGCTCTTTGCTTCTTTAATAGGGCAGAACTGAGTTTCACACTGATTATGTTTTAGTACTGCACAAATGTTTTCCAAGTTTCATGTGAAAAAGACATTTTTACCCTCAGGCCCAAATCCTGCCAGTAAGTACTAATCTTTAAGCATATTTGTTTTATGCATTTTGAAAAAAATTCCCATCAGGACCATTCCTGTTTACAGACTATTGGTGCTGAGCATGCAGTGGTACCTGAGAAGTCCAGGATTTGAAAGTTTTGCAAAGGACTATCTAGAAAGTGTTAGTAACTCAAACTAAAAAACCCTTCTGATTGCCTCCACTGTACAGCTGGAGGGTGTTGCTGGATATAAAACAGGATCCTTTATGCATCCTGTATAAGTGACAAGTAGAAAGCAGGGAAATTTCCAGTTGGCCAAGGTAGCAATATGTGCTGTGGACATTGAAAAGGGAAACAGCTGGAAATTATTTTTAAACACTGGGGTTTAAAAGTTGTTTTGCTTGAATTGATTCTTTAGTTTTCTTGATGTGATAAAGTATTTTATCATTGATATTTCTGTCAGTCTAAGGCATGACATTACATCTGAAGTGTTTATTAATTAATTAATCCCTATTGCAGAATTAAGTAATATACTAATCAAGGTGGCTTTTGGTTTCTCAAATCTTCTACAGCTATTAATGGTTATATGTATGGAAATCAGCCTGGTCTTGAGATGTGTAAAGGAAGTGTTGTTTCCTGGCATTTGATGGGCTTGGGTTCAGAAGTTGATGTCCATGGGATATACTTCTCAGAAAACACATTTGTAACTAAAGGAACAAGAAGGGATACAGCAAATCTGTTTCCACATACAGTTCTTACAGCTATTATGAAGCCTGATTCTGAAGGTAAATGTCTTATTTAAAAATCCTGTTACTAATGCAGAAACTGTGACTTATGAATGCTTTGTGCAGAGACAAGCTTTAAGTAGTTGGTATATTGACCCTGCTGCTAAAACTGTGTACAGGTGTGTTTGAAGGGCAGCAAACTGTAAGAATGTATGTTCTTAATGCTAAGTTCTTGATTTTCCTAGCTCCTCTGTATGCTGAATTTTATTACTACAAGTAGCCACACTGCTCAAAGATTTTGGACCTTATATGAGCAATAACCTGTGTCACAGTCTCCTCAAGTCTTTTTTTCTTATATGACCTCTAGGAGTATTTGAAGTGTCCTGCCTGACAGCAGACCACTACACTGGGGGCATGAAACAGAACTACAAAGTGAAAAAATGCCACTGGTGGAATGTAGATTTGTCTACATATTTGCATGAAAAGATTTACTACATTGCTGCAGTGGAAGTTGAATGGGACTATTCTCCTAACAGGACATGGGAATTCGAGCGGCATCAATACCATAAGGAAAGGTACTTCAGAGTACACACAGGGGAAAAAAAACCAAAAAAAGCAAAGGAGCAACTCCTGTTGCTTCTCTCTGAACCTTTTCCTCTTCCAGACATTTCTAGACACACTTTCTTTTCACAAATATATTTTGGGCTTACTTGAATTTCTCCTTCCCCAGCAGTGCTGCCATGTAACTGAGCCAGACAGCACAATGGTTGAGAAATCACACAGATCTTCTGTGGGACAGGTGTAGATTTTAATGGATCCTGGATAATGCATGTGCATTTGTTATTTACTAATGTTGGTAGTCCTCAACGTGGAAAGCTTAAAATATTCATTGTCATCTTATCTATGATGACTATGTCCTGATAAACAAGGTCTTTGTCTCATGTTTATTTGTAGTCTGAATAAGGTTCTTTTTGACCCCTCTCAATTTCATGAGCTTACCCATGATTGAATTCACTTACCATGAAGCTTGTTGTTTTATTTCCAGTATTTGAATCTCAATGAGAGAGAACTGATTGGATAAACTAACTCATGCCAAGAATGATTAATTTCTGTGTTCCACCTGAATAACTTGAGTAGCAGATTATAACTGTATTTTGTTATTAACTTAATTGTATTTTCTTTTTTCCTCAGTTGATAGTACATTTCCTTGCCCTGTAAACCAGTGACTCTGTAATTCTAAGCACAAGTAATATGGACTATGCTGTTACCAGACTTCCCCCCCCCCCCATATTGTGTCCAGCCCCCATTATCTCAGCAGAGAATCCCTCCCATTTAATGTCAGCAAGGCACTTCAGCTTTACAAGTTTTAGGCTTCATTTCAGATGTACACTGAAGTTGCCAAAGGCTCTGTTTGTTCAAGTTGCTGTGTCTTCATGCAATCTGCAGCATTTGCCAGGCCAAACGCTCAGCATTTTTTCCAAGTACCCTAGACTTGATCTATTTATAGTAGGGTTTTTAACTATCTAAAGGGGAACCTCCCACCTTAACAAGAATGTTTTCATGTTGAAGATACTAGCAGTTTATGAGATTACTCTTTCAGTTTATGAGATTACTTCTTCTTTTGAGCCAAATTCTTGCTTGATAGTTAATTGACACACCTGCAAAAGATGTTCTAAAATACATGAAGGAATGCATTTCTTTCTTCATCTGGCAGCCCTGGCAATCCATTTTTAAATAAAGATGAAAAATTCATTGGCTCAAAGTACAAAAAGGTGGTATATCGTGAGTACACTGATCAGACATTCAGGACTCCCAAAAACAGAGCAAAGGAGCAGCAGCACCTGGAAATTCAAGGTAAAGTCATCATGTTCAGTTTTGAAAATGCAAAATTGCAGTCACACAAATCAAAAGATACTATTTGAATAATACTGAGTACAGTTCTACCCACAAAAAATTGCCCCAGTCTAAATGGAAAACCTACTTGGAACTGCAACTTTTACTGTAGTGCTTTCCCTGCAAGATAACATTGCTTGCTCTACAAGGAAAAAAACCTTTTTGGTTTGCTGCTTGGTCAGAGATTCTAAGTCAGCATAAAACTGGGCAGCAACATTCAAACTGACTTCTGTAGGTGCTCAGAACTTGAGACGTAGAGGCCTAACTTTAACATCTCAAGTTGGCATGTCATAATGAACATTATCCAGTTTGCTTCTGACTTATAAGTTAATGTTGTGAATTTGAACACAACAAGCTGGCTCTATGTCTGTTCTGATCTTTTTTTTCAATCCAACAGGGCCGCTGCTTGTGTCAAATACTGGAGATAAAATTATAATAGTTTTCAAGAACTTAGCATCAAGACCTTATTCTATCCATGCCCATGGAGTGAAAACAGACAGTTCTGTTGTTGATGTAACTAACCCAGGTATCAAACCACCCTCTTTTATTTCCAGCAGGTAACATCAAGACGTCTGGTAAGATTTAGCAAGCTTCCAGACAGCAGGAAAAACATCATTTTTGTTTGTCTTGCCTCAAAATCTTAAAATTTTTGATGCTGATTATGACAAATATTTCTACAGTTCAAATGCCCCTCCTAATTATTGCTGTGTATCCTAGTCCTTGACTGATCAGTAATTTTTTGACACAATGTGGCTGCACCTTTCATGAAAGCAAACAGATTTGCCTCCATTGGGAAAGCACGGCTTATGCTATCATTTCTCAATTTCCTCTGTGATTTCTACAAAATATAAAATCAGCTGTTAAGTATGGTGAACTGGACAGTGCAGACACACTTACACACACACAAAATCATTGTCAAGAAGGATCAGGGATATGCAGAAGGGGCCATCAGCTAGCCAGAGCAGTAAATGGGAAGGAGAACTTCAAGACAAATACAAGCTGTAAATGGAAATAACATGTGCTTCACAATGACCATCTGTAGGATCAGCACACCTAAAACTTCAAAAATTAATTGATACTTATTTAATTCAGGTGATACAAAAATATATGTCTGGAAAATCCCAGAGAGATCTAGTCCTGGGAGAGGAGATTCACATTGTATTGCATGGGCATACCATTCAACAGTGGACATTGTTAAGGTACATTATTGATACCAGTTTTGTTTGTGTCTCCAACATAGATATAGTCAAAGGAGATGAGTTTGAAACTTTTTCTGCTTTCTCTACCAAGTTATTTCCCCTATTACCATACCTTTGAATTTATATGTTTCTTGAAGGCAAGTTGCAAGAACATCAGGGCAGAAATTCAAGGCTAGACATTCATGGTTTTGTTTGCGGTATAGATCTTCTCACATTCCCTAATGTGAGAAGCTAACACTTTATAGCTTGCTCAATATCTAATCAGCCACTTGTGGGAAAATTAAAACGCAACTGTGAGACACAACTCTGCCATATTTTACCAAGCATGAATTAGCTTAACATAGTATCTTTATGGTAATGAATATATTCTTGCCACTGTCTCAACAAATACAAATAGTGTCAAGATGTATATTTTGAATGGAAATCAAGCTCAAAATTATAAAAATAGTTTGAAAAAAGAGCAGTAAATTAATATGGAAGAAATGTTTATAACAAGAGATGAATTGATTCCTGGATAGCATATAACAACAGAGAATTAACTTTGTTTGTCATTGGCTGCCCTTGTTCCCAGACACTGACAGCTGTGAAGACAGTAAAAAGATTCCTTTATGTCATTAAGAGTAACTCTGTTTAATTACATCTTGCAATTCTGTGGGTTTTCATTTGTCATTTCAGGACACTTACAGCGGATTAATAGGCACACTTGTTGTGTGTCATAGACATTACCTGCCATCATTTCATACTAAAAAGAAAGTTCAGTTTGCTCTTCTCTTTATGGTTTTTGATGAAAATGAGTCATGGTACTTGGATGAAAACATTAAAACGTATTCTACCAACCCACACCTTGTTGACAAAGAGGATGAGGGATTCCTTGAAAGTAATAAAATGCATGGTATGTTTCCCAATTTAGTTCATATAGCTCTGCGAATTTTACAAAGTTATGTATTTGAAAGTAGCGCATATAAATTCAACTTTCTCAGCCCTTTGCATTTCCAGTTTCAGGACAGAAGGCCGGAAAAACTTTACTCAAACTGTTTGAAAACACTGCTCGTGCCAGTGAATGACATTTTTTTCACAAGTTAAAAAAGCCCTTAACAACAACAAAGCCCCCATGGTATATTCTCATGTTGAAGTTTTAGTACAGCAAGAATAAAAATCAAATTTGAAGTTCTGATTTGATGTCAGTAAACAACTGCTCTGGATATTTTGGAAAAGCTATGTGCATCCTGAAAGCATGTCTTTGTAAAGCTTACTCTTCAACAAAGATTGACAGGAATTGCAGAACTTTAAGAAAAAGATCTGCAATTCCCACAGCTCTTTTAAAACTGCAATATTAGCAGTGATGTGCAGCAAAGAAATTTTATTATGTCTTTCTTTCTAGTTTAATGTGAAATATAAACACAACCGTTCATCACATACCATCCAAAACCATTACTTTTGTTTGGCATTGGCTTTCAAATTTTTCAATCTGTACTATATTAGAGATAACAATACACAGAATCTTATTTGTTTTCTCTGTCTTACTTTCCTTCTTTTTAGCCATTAATGGAAAGGTGTTTGGAAATTTGCATGGCCTGACTATGCACGTTGGAGATAATGTCAGCTGGTATCTGATGGGAATGGGCAATGAGATAGACATTCACACAGTACACTTCCATGGCCACAGCTTTGACTACAAGGTATCAGGTCTTTTTCACTTATTTCTTGCTGTGTTAAGAATGAGGTAAGTAAAATATCAAGGACTGTTATCTATGGTGAAAAGTCATCTTGCAATATTAAGCAGGGCTTGTACTTCGACGATAAGGGTTTTATGCCTCAAACCTATATTTGATCAACATACAAGAGCCAGAGAATATCTGCCAGTAGCATTCGCTCACTGGTAACCTCAGAAGTTACTTCAACAAGATAGCTGTGAATTTTTCGTGGCTGTGGTAAGAAAAAAAGCTATACTTTTCCTTCATTTCCACTTAGTTGCTAGTTTATTAAACTTTGGAGCATGAAGTGGATGTACAAAGTGATGCTTCGGTAGAAATGATACATAGAAAATGTGTCTAACACAGTTTAACTGTTGGTTTTTTTTGTCTTGAAGCAAACAGGCGTTTACCGGGCAGATGTCTTTGATCTGTTCCCTGGGACATCTCAAACTGTGGAAATGACCCCACAGAACCCTGGAACCTGGCTGTTACACTGTCACGTTACTGACCACATCCACGCAGGCATGGAAGCGACCTACACTGTGCTCCCAAAGGAAGGTAAGAGCCACCTAGCTTAGTAGTGTTTGCTATGTTTTAAAATGCACAATGGGGCTCACAGACAGGCCAGTATACCTCGAACCAGTTCAGGCACCCAGCAATATTCCATGTCTGGAAGTCAAGATGTAGCAGGCAACCTGATCACACTTCCCTCAGCACTCCTCAGGAAAATGAAGTAGTTAAAGGACTGGATGATAACTATTACTTCAATTTACCATCCATGAAATCTAAGTGACAGATTTTTTTTATTTAAAAAGAATTCTTCATGAGACAGAGTACTTCTGTACCCAAGAAGTGTCAGTACTGATTGAGACTTCATTTCAATCTTTGTTCAAAACAAGCACAGCTGATAAATACAGCTGAATTCATGATCCCCATACAGCTGAAGTACTGAAAAATTAAAATAGTGTTTACTTTCTCAAGGGCATGTTGTAGCTTTACAGACACTATTACCTTGCACTAGCAATATCACCAGTGAAAAATGTTGAATTTTGAAGAAAAGTTCTTATTTCTAAAGAGTTAATACAATTTTAAAACCAACATTTTTCAGTATTCAAAAGACAGAGCATAACAGGTATTGAGAGAAACAGAACAGTAGAAATAATTCAAAATATGTGATGTATGTATATATACACAACTATATGATTTACATTTTAACTATACAAAAAAATACAGAATGCAGTGTTAAACAGAAAATCTAATTCTATTTGATAAAGCACTGGAATATGAAACAGAACCTAATTCAATTTTATAAACACTAAAACTGATTTACAGAGTATGTTATGCCAGATGTCCAGACAATAACAAGGCTAATTTAAGAGTACACAGAAAGACATGCAAAAACAGACTTTCAACTTGGATCAGCAGTACATCGGATTTTTTATTATTAACCATCTAGACTGCATTAAAATGTAACCTTCATTGCATCTTAAAGCTGTTTTTAAACCTAACTCATAATGTCCAGAACGTACTTGGATCCTCTGTGCTCATTTTGGACTCTGCTGGCCACATGCACAGACTATTCTTTTGATGAAATGTACAATAAAGCTATTTTTCTCCTTCTAGACAAACAGTCTCTGTTCCCAAGATTATTCAATCAGTTCAAGTGCAAAGGCATGCCAGGCACTCAAGAATGATGAAAGCATTTTAACACAGCGATCCTCCAAGGTCTATCTTAATTTCTTGGAAAATATTCTTCTGGATCACTCATCTCTACACAGTTTGGAAGATTTCGCATAGTGGCCATGGCTAAGAAAAGAACCACAGACTAAGACAGCTGAATGGATGTTACAGCTTATAAATATGAGTTTCTGTAAATGAAAATAGTATCTTGCAAATGAAACACATTTTAGGTGATAGCTACTGCATGTTATTTAGCAGCTGAGGAACACAGAAGAACTAATGAAATGTACTTTTTTTTGAGGTTTGCAAATAACCCTGAGTAACAGAAAAATTTGGGGTATCAGTCATCATACTGTCACATTTTACTCGTATGTCTGTAGTAAATGCTTAGAAAACAGGAATTTGGTTATCACTTTATCCATAGGTTCACACTGAAAAGATATATAGTACTGTATAATTAAGCAGTTAACAAAACAGTTATATTATTTCTGTTGAATTACTTTACAATTTTATTCAGTAGTACCTCTCAAGAATATGCATTTAAAAGATTTGGTTTTCTGTTAAGAAAATAATTCCAAGGCAAAATTAGGCTGAAATAAGCCTGATGAAATGCAGACAGTGAAGGCCAAAAGTTGGTAACTATGGTACTGAAAAGCTTTGCTCTGACAACTCCTGCAGTGGAATCATTTTGCTGTTGCAGCTCTTGGTGAAGGAAAAAGAAAGTTTCCTGACAGGTGGAAGCATCAGTGTTAGAGCATGGCTGATGCTACTCAAAAATGAGTAACAGCGATATGGTTGTGTTTCAATAACCCAACTCCTCATGTTAGATCTGTGCCAAATGAGAAGGAAAGATGTATGGGACAGGCAAGGAAAGCAAGACATCTAGGCTTTATGCCTGCAAGAATGAAATTGCTTCTCTTTAACAAGCCTAAATTGCTTTGGTCTTTTTTAAAGGTTACACTGAAACCAACATAATACCTACCAGTAAATTAGATAATTCATTTTACCTGTAGCAGGAATGCTACGCGAGTAAGTTAAACTACTTTTGATTTTTTTTTTTTTGTTAATGTATTTTAGCTGAAATATAGATGGTCTCTTCTGACTGACTTCTATAGGTTCAAATAACATTGCAACTCCAGTGAAAACATTTTTATAGCGTCACTGTCAGCTAATTAGGCCTTTAGATGGTTTAGATGGTTATGGGATCATGGGAGTCATTGTATTTTTGGTAATTGTCAAAAACCACAAACTACATTCATAAGGACGTTATAAACATTGTGACTGCTTATTATGACTGAATTCCAGCTCTGAAGGAGCAGAAAGATGCTTTCTGCTCGCAAGACAGACAAACATCAGTACACACGTGCACAAGCACCTGAGATGCTTACCAAAAACCCTAGAAGAAATTCAAGGAAATGTCTGTGTTGCCATATCAAGTCAGTTGGGCCCAATTCCACTTGGAAGAGTAAGGTACTCACTTTTACTCGTACAGTTGACACATGCCTGAGCCTGAATTCCCCCCTAAGTCAGTGATCTAGCTAACAAAGATTGAAGACTGACTTTCTACTTTACTTTCAGTGAACACTGTATGTTCAGCTGTACTGTAGAATCTGTATTTCCTAGCTGCTTAGGCACCAGAATTAGCTTCAAAACAGATGCCTTGCCTCAGTAAACAGCTGTCCTTTAGCAGTTGACATCACAAGATGTATGTGAAGGGAGGCCTGCAGTACCTTATAAGGAGTTCTACTGCTTGTATCATTTACTTTTTTATTACAGCACATTGTAGTTGAGTGGACAGCAGGTCCACAGGTCATTGTTTTAGGTCAGCAGCTTCCTCTGGCTGCAGTGAAGAAGATGTGGCAGAAAAAATGCTGCAGTTCCATCTTCTGGTAGAAGACTGAGGAAATCCCTTAGCTCCAGTTCCATTGCAACAATTGATAAAGTTTCTGCTCAGAGCAGGGGAGAAAATATAGTTTAGGCATTTTGAGTTTAGAACAAAGAAAAAAACACAAAGCATTAACAATGTAATTATTAATTAAAGTAATCAAATTATTTAAATATTGCAACTGGAATGACATTTGAGACATAGCCATTTGTGTGCAAACACAACTATGGGAAATCTAAAAAGGAAACTGAAATTATGACTTCAACCAAAAACAAGCCTCTATCTTGACATATCGGGTCTACACATGGCACTAACATTAATGAAGTCTGATCTAGTATTTCACAGGTTTTGTATGAAATGCAAAGCAAGCTCTGGAAATCTTATTAGTACCCTCGTTCATCCACTACAACTGGATGCTTTGCAAGAAGCATCTCAGACCAAGCTGTGTAATGTTATGTTTTTATGCAACTACAACACAGTTACTGCATGAAAATAAATCCAAAGAAAAACTGCTGGCACCCGAAACTAGAACTTTGTAAGAACTGTGCTACAGAATGCAATCCCACAATGCTGTTTTTCTCAGGCATTCCAATGGCATTCTTTGAACAATATATGTGCTTTATTTAATATTCCTAATTTGTCAAAACAATCACACTGGCTCCACAGCTATACACAATATTATAATTTCTTACAAACATGTAACAATAGGACTACACAACTACTAGGATAGATTTCTCTACTTTTAGTATTAGCATACTGGTTTTTTTAGTCTATGACTTAATCATCAATATACACTTAAGCCTCCCCTGTGTTATCACTAACAGCCTAGTATTTAAGAACCATATAGTCATTTAGCCTAGAAAAGAACGAATCAGAATTATTTCTTTTTAGTAGGTTTTTAATGGTGTCTATTCCTTACCAATACAGAAAGAGTATGATTACAACAATTTACCTGATTGCAATACAAAATTAATGTCCTGATTTTTATGAAGCTACACTGCCTACATTGCAGAATTCTGTGCTAATGACCAAAAAGGCTGCTAAACTGCATTAGCTTTAACTAAAGAAAAAGCGCCCCCCCCCTTTTTTTTTTCAAATTATCATCTCAATAGTCCTTAGTCTGAACATTTATTAACAATATTAGCTGATGAACAAAGCCGTCTGTAGCTGAGTTACAACCAATTGATTTACCTTTGAGTGAAGAAATAAGAACAGGGCAGTCCTTTCCAGTAAGTCTAGCTCTCTTGCAAAGTTCAGGAAGCAGCTTGTTCCACCACAGAGCCTAAGCCACAAAACCCAATAGCAAACGTATAAATAAACAAGAACTGAAATTAAGAGTACGAAAGACCTGCTAAAAATAACCTGAACTAAGCTCAGATGTGTACCAATACAGGTCAGTTATTATGAACTCAGTAAGTTGTTTATATAATGCTTTGAAATGCAGTGATTTTGCATATTCACTGTTTTTCAATCTTCAGTGTAACTTTTTTTCTGCCCAAAAATCTTTACACAGTGTCCCTCATAGCTGTATAGAAAAAAGTTTAGAAGACAAAAACAGTCACACAATTAGCAATACCAATGTAGTCAGAGAATTGTTTTTTTCTCCCAAAACAGCTTGATGGACAGTGGTGAAGAGCACTGCTCTGTCTCCTGACCTGGTCTGTCTCATTCCAACAGCCGTAGTAGTAAATTAGGTTTTGTGCACAATTTTGTAGGTAAGAATGGAGAGAAGGAAAAAGATTTCTTTCCTCCTTTAAAACTGGTAACTATTTTCTTTCACTTGTGTTCAGATGCAGTACTGCAACCTCACATTCTACTCTAACGTGGGAACAATCACAGAAACTATTTTCAGACACGAGTAAAAAGCTCAAATCTGGTTCTGAATAGAGTTCTAGTACATCTGTCTGATAGAGACCACATTTCCTGACTCTGGTCAGCAGAGCTCCATGCAATTAATTGAGTTGCTGTGCTGGGAAATGGAAATAAACTCCCACAGTCCTGGAACACTAGAATAAAATCAGTTCCAACACTGAAACTGTACAGAGGCCTAATGGGAAAATGGGACACAAGGACATAATCTTTCTGCTAGTGTACTGACATCATTCTGATCGCTAGAAGGTCAGAAGATGTCACTAGACCACAGGAAGAACACATTTAAGTGCAATTTTATTCAAGGGACCATGTTCTCTTGTCAGTTAGCTTATTACTAAGATTTCACATTATAAACATTGACAAACAATTCAGAACATAGTCAGTTAGTGAGAAACTAGATAGCTTTTCATTTACAGAAGAAAAAGAACATATCATTCTTTATTCTGAAGAACTCTGCCATTTAAAAGGCTATGCTTTACATTTACCACAACGAATAGAGTAAGTGGCAAAAGAAACTGGAGGAAAAAATATTCCATTACAATTACTGGGGACTGAGTTAAGAAATTAAAACACCAAGGAAGAGGTGGAAGCTAAGCAATTTACTTTGCCTGAAAGCTAGGCTATGTGATCCATCCAGAGTCCATCTGTACATACAGCATTTCAGTTTGGGAAAAACCCCAAATGATAGTGAACAACTGTACTGAAAGTAGCCCACCTGATTGTCACCTTTCAGCTCATGCTGAGCATAGAACACAGCTGCATCAGGACACCTTGTGAGCAGCTGGTCAATGGCTTCCTCGTACTTGCCCAGACGGGTATTGCACAGAACACGGATGGTGAGGCCGATGCTGTCAGCCTCTGTCAGGGGCTCCAAAACAGGCAGAGCTGAAGCTATATTGATTGACTGACTGCATAAAAGAGACTGAAGACAAGAAGTATTGTTTGGGTTTAAGACAAACACGGCAAAAAATGCTAATCATAGCCTTAGAAGAAAAGCCCTTACTTGTTGGAATAATCCTGAAATAATACTTCCTTTAATAAATATTGCTGAAAACTGGGAAAGCAAGTTTAGAGTAGATACAAATGTAAATACTGTTATTAACACAGCTCTTCACTCTTCAGTATTTTCTTCTTCCATCATTTCAGTCAACCTTTTATTTTGACTTGGATAGCTTAGGGGGGAAGAAGGGGAGTCTCCTGGAGAAAGCTGTTCACACAAACATGAATATTTGAAGAATGGATCTAAGATATAAAGCAGTAAGATGTAATACATGTTTCATACCTGTAGTCTTGAGATATCTTCATGGTAATCTTTGTCAGATGAACATCCCACTGACATTATGGAAGCTACCCACGGGACAATCAACCCAAAATGACTACAGGAATTTATCTATACAAGACAGAATTAAGTTGCAATAAAATAAACATTTCTGCTAGTGACAGTTCCATATGAAACTCATTGCGAGTAAAGAAAATTTTAATCTCAAATAGCATAATTTAGAAGAGCACCTACCCCTTCTTTCCTGGTTCATGCAATTTAATAACAAATAAACTGGAAATTTCTATTTAGTTCTGTATTTTAGCTTTCCTGTTCATAATTCTTTAAAATTCATCATTCACACGATTTCCTCATTTAGTTAGCTTTGTAAAATTGTAAATAATGCACCTGACAAATTCTTGTTTCGTTTTAAACCTTATTTCTATGCAGAGCTGACTCCTGCTGGAAGTATATTTGCAGATGTCCCCAAGGAGCAAGTCTGGCCAAAGCCAGAAATACTAATTTGTAACTGCACATCACCTTATTTTATTTCACTCTTGCTTCTTTTAAGAGATAAACTATCTAGAATTAAAATATTAAGGATGGTACTTGGATGGATTGTGGAGGAACACCGCAGTCCTAAAACTTCCTTTGCGTGGTTTACAACTTACTAGATCCTCTGTTGTTTTCAATGGCTTAGTCTGAGGAAGTTGCTTCTTTGATATTCTCCAAACATACTGAGAAGTAACCCTCAATAGGAGCTCCTGAAGTATTTCTTCCTGAGAGGACACTACAAGAAGAGCTTCCCAGAAATCCACAAGGAGCTGGGGAACAGTGTTTTCACTGCTATTACACAGCATCTAAGAATAAATACGATAGAAGACAGCAAGTTAGACTATAGTGATTATTAGTAGAAAAAGTTAGAAAAGACAGGAGGAACAGTTTTTCACTTTTACTAGAAGCAGAATTTTGATTTAATTTTTGTTCTGTGATTCTATGTAATACACTCCTATGCAAAGTAAAAAGTTCATCAGGTGATTTTAAGGTAATAAATTCTGACCAAAAGATTTGACTTCTTCAAGATTTACTCTACTGCTAGAAATGTCAGTACAACTGTCAGCAAGTATTTAGACTGCTAATGAAGAGGATTTTTACATATGCTGATAGACAAGTGTTTTGAAAAGAAGTCTCTATATGATAAGATCTGCTGTGCAGTTCAGCTGGGTATCATGGTAGGACCCACAAGGAGGATGTTTTAAGATCTGCTGTGCCAGCAAAAAGAATTTTTACTTGGTTTCCAAATGGTTTTAAACAACAACACTTGTTCTAATTGGAACTTCATGACTTGCTCTTTTTGATACAGGTCTTTCACAGTAACAGATATACTTAAGACTGCAACACACGTACATTGAAGAACATGCTTTAACCCAAGTGTTGCTATTCATTGTAGAAAAAAGAAAAAAACGTTTGTCTAGTCCCAGTTGAAAGAAAGAAAACTTCAGGGACACCAGAAAAACTATTAGTATTTCTTCTTATAAAGTGCAGACACATACTTTTCTTTCACGAATTTACACAGATCATCAGAACACTATATATCTGTTATGTATTTAAGCCAGATTCTTTAGAAGTATGTTTTAATTCTGAAGATTTCTTTAAAAGGAGATTATGGAATTAATTTATCTAAATTCTGTGACATTTCCATGGCCTTAGGAAGCTCAATTACTAGGAAGCTACTGAAAGTGTTCTGAGATCAGGGTATTTTCCATCCAAATGACAGGTTAAAAACAAAGAACTTAACGGGTTGTTTCTTTTGCTTTCTTTTTTTGCTTCACTTAACCAGTATTTCATTCCAGAAGATCCAGTTTCTGACTCTAACCATCTATCAAGACTAGACTATCTCCACCCCTCATCTCACTCTTTCTGAAGAAATGCTGAAATGTGAGTAAAGGAGCAATTGAGGCTGCTTTTCTTTCCCACAACAATGTCATTATGAAAAAAAAAATAGAAGCAAAACCAGTATCACAGGCCAACCTTGAAAAAGGTATCTGCTTCTTCTAGTTCAATTTTACTGTTCTCATGTAAAGCCACAGTGGCAGCCACCAGTAAACCAGGCTGCATCTCCTTCAGGTGAACAGCAAACTCAGTTGGCATAACAATTCCTTCCTTACGCTGCTGCAGGAGCCGTGGCTGCCCAATGAAGCCACAAGCCAGTGTTGTCTACAAACATAAATAGATATAAATCAGGTAAAGAATTCAATATACAGATTATTCTACTCAGTAAATTCAGTATTTCCTCAGGCAGTGAAATTTAGATGGAAGTAGTCAGGGAAGAAAGCAAATCCTTTCTGCAATTCATAGAGTAGCTCTCCAGAGACAGATCCAAACCACATTCTGGAGCAGTGACTCCTGAAAAACAGGCCTTGTGCCTAAACACTGAAAGTAATATGCAATTGAAAGATGGAGTTATTGTGCACATAAAATGGATTTCACTAAGTAATCCAAGACATTTGATGTACAGGGTGGTTTGTAAAATCACTGGCTGACTTTTCAAGAGGCTACTTTGCAGAAGTGTGATTTTTATTTTGAAAATATCCCTGAAACAATGATCAAAATGTGCTTCACTTTGCGCAACAAGAAGCTATTTTGAGTTATGTGAGTGCTTACAAAGATGAGTATAATATATTATTCCCATTTTAAAGACAGTGGCAAAATAATGCCTAAGTAAATTAAATTAATTGCACAAGACATATAAGGCAGACCTAGAAGAAATATTAAGATTAGCTTTCTGAAAATGTTTTTTCCTACTTTGAAATACAATGCTTTTTTAAAGGTGAAGAGCAATAGAACATATTTAACGGATCAGATTAGAAAGAAAGAAAATCCAACCAAAACCACTCAAGCTTAAACCACCTTATTCTCAAAATAACATCCAGGCAATGTGTTTGCTCACAACATGGCAATTTCACTTGATCGTGCTGCAAAAGCAGGTGGTGCTGAATATAATTTTTGAAACAGCTCCCCACAGCTCCAACCCTGGAACTCAAAACCAGCCACCTTTAAAAACTCTGCAGGACTTTTTCCACCAAAGCACAATATCTAACTTTGAATCAGCCATCCATTTATTTAAAAAATGTTTAGACTCCCAATATTCAGTTTCTGTTTCAAACTCTATCACATTTTAATATTCCACAGTCTTGATCAAACTCAACAAGAAGTAATTTACAGACTGGTCTCACACAATGTAAACATCTGTGGCAGAGACAGCTCCACTAACATTTTTGCCCCCATTGATGATGAATTCTTACTTTGATAGCTCTGAAGTAGGTTCTGATCTGGTCTTAAAAGAGTTAAGTGCTTTGATTCCACATAAAATGTGAAATTGTATACAGAAACTTTAGTTTGTAAGCACAATGGAAAATATTCTGTTCAAGAAAAATGTTATAATGGCTGTTTGCATACAGATGGTGTCTTGATGGGCATATATTAATTTCAGGTAGAGAGGTGTAGAAATGCTACTATACAATCCTCCCATGCAGCTGAAGAGCACTGGCAGAGTTGGTTATATCCCAGTAAAACAACATCTAATTGATCAAGAATAAAGAGCTTCAAAACTTGCTTATTTTGTAAGTCTTCACCAAGACACGACTACCCTATCTGCAGGGCAAACTGTACAGTCACAGTGTATGTCAGCCCTCCATTCTACTGTTACTGCAGACATTTAGTGGAGCCTACACAGCCTATCCGGGGAAAGAGGAGTGACTGGAAGCTTCTTTTACTGTAAAATGCAACTATAAGTCAAACTATTACCCTGGACTTTGTAAAGCATGAATTGCTCATGCTCTCGGCATACTTTACCTCCTTATAGGAGTGCATTTCATGTTCATACATTGCCAGGTCTCCCATTTTCAGAGCCAAGAAAGCCTTAGTAAGTGTCAGGACCACTGATGGCATCATCTTTTCTACTTTCTGAAGATACTTCACAGCTGTCAAAGGACATACGTTCCTCATGCTGGGACTGCAAAGAATATCAGGCAGCTGCACAGGGTCCGCGAGATAGAATATCTGGAGAACTTTATTTCCTGATTCCTATTGAAATAAAAGCCATTTGACAGTTTAGACCTTTGCAGATGTACATTCTTCTATGGCATATGAAAGTAGTGCAGTTCTGCTGTTTTGGTTTTTTTTTGTGGCAGGTTTGTTTGTATTTTTTAAAAACTGGCAAGTTCAGCTTAGGTATCAAATCACAGCACCTTTCCTGTTTCTCTCCTCCCTACTGTTAAAAGTAAAGGATTTATAACTGGTAGTGATTCAACCCATATTCTGGCATATTCTGGTAGGAGAACATCTACCAACAAAATCCATTGTTTTTAGCAATCTGTACAATTTAGCAATGATCAAAGAAACAGCTTGTTTTGCTACAGAAATGGGAGATGACAGAAATTTGAGGCAGGGCTTTCCTAAAACAGAAGTGTCTCTGTGCAAGAGAACCACATCGCAGCAACATGAATAATGATAGCCAAACCTGTAAGACGTTACTTGAACGCAGTCCAAAGCATCACAGGCACTGCTTGCTATTCAACAACAGTGGGAAAATAAAAATAATGTGAAAAAAACCCCTGTAAAACTGAAAAACCCCCCTGTAAAAAAAAAGCAGCTCAGCATTTTCAAAGGGAAAGTGATTAATATTTGATACACAATTCTTAAAGTCAGAACTAAATTAGCAGACTACAAATAAACCAACTTACTCCTACCTTACTTAATTCTTCATTTGAGTCTTCATTAAGAGAATGAGTTAAGTAAAATATAAATCCTTTCTCATATGTCTGTATTTCATCACCTTCTGCAACTTGTCTCTTTAAAACTTCAGTCATGGATAAACCTGACATTCTGTAGTATGGCAAAGCAAGGTGGTAATCCTTTGTGTCAAACCTGAAGGAAATAGAGAGGAAGGATAAAAGTAACAAAACAACTAAGGGCAATGCTTTTGCCATCACTCTTTGTAAGAACTAAAAGTACATAAAACAAAGTTGCAGGCACATAGTTATCTGCATATATTGTTCATATTCCACATAATTCTATTGAATTCAACATAATTCTGAATAATTGAATTCTGTTTAATGACAATAAAGACAACCAGAAGAGAAGAATAGACTAAGCTGGTTTTGTAAAACAGAAAGGTTTGTATGACATATGCAATACTAATGTAGAATAGCAAAGAATTATGGATTTTCATTTTAAAGTTACACCACTGAAAACACACACCTATGCCACTTTGATATCTAAAACATACCTGCTGTAGCAGTCTCCTAAGAAGGCACAACTTTCTCTGAATGCTCTTAGAAGATCTTCCTTCTCATCTGATTTAAGGAAATGAGGGTCCATTATAGCTGCTCTGACCAGTAAGTGAGCCTCACTTAGAAGATGGATGCAGCTCTCAGTCTTAACATTTTCATAAGTTCTACTATATTCTACCTAGAACAGACAGAACATATACTTAGGCTGCTGACAAAAATTAAGAATATACAGGAACAATTTTAATGAAGACAGCATGTGTTTGAAATAGAATTATGGGCTATTTACAAGAAATGTATTACACCATATTCAGCAATGACGTACATTAGAGATTAACTAGCAGTACTTATTTTTAGCAAATAACAAAAGCAGGAGTTGGGCAATACCATTTCTCTGTAAAGCTGAATTGTTGAAACAGTGTTTATAATATATAAATTCCAACCAGGCTCTGACTCAGAAGTTGTTCTGGATTTGATGCTGTCAGCCTTTCTGGAACTAGAGAAAAGAGTTGAGTTGTCAGTGTTGAAATAAACACTATGCAACCAAAAAAACCCCACTAATTTTGTAATTCAAATGCATAAATAGATATGTCTGCAGACCAGTGCTGGAGAGTTAAGCTGTGAATTTAAGTCATACTGGCTAATAACAGAATAGGGATAGGCATGTTAACACATAAGAGTCATCATCAGAACTGTCCTCTACATCTTCTCCTGTGCTTAACACCAGAGAGTATCAGGAATCATAGAATCATCAAATGGCTTGGCTTGGACCTTCAAGATCATCTAGTTCTAACCTCCCCATCATAGGCATGGGATTCCATCGACTGAACAGGTCAGACTGACCAGGGCCTTATCCAACCAGACCTTGAACAGTTAAGTAATTTAAATTAGCTGTTTAATCTCCTGTAAGGACTTAGTGCATAGTTGCCCCTGCAGCTCTATCACAGTGTTTGCCAACACATGGCATAAAGAGGTATCAGAATACTTTTATTCTAAAACTTTGGCTTGGTAAATAAAGCCCTAAGGTTAAAAATACTGTAAGAAAACACTCTTTTTGTTCTGTTTTTAAATTTTATTTTAACTGTAAACCTGTTTACATCTTTATTTTCAAATGATCGTGCTACATAGCTTAGTATTTGTCCATTATATTCTTTACAGAATGCAAAAGGTATATATTCTTCAAATGCCAATTTGATAGAGTATTTGAATACTTGAAACAATGCAACCGGCAGAAAATGTGCTTTTTACAAGAAAACTACAGTATTTTGAATTATCATTTTTCCTGACAGGCTTCTCCTTATCTTCTTCTGAATAATGTCTGCTCTGGACTTTAGGAAATACTGGGTCAACTAACTCCTCAATCAACTAAAGCTGTCCCACTCTCATTAATAAACTTAAACTGAGTTTAATAAATGTGGTTTCTGAGTAACTGCTTACAATAACTGCTTAAATATTTTATGAAAAATCTTCAAAAATGGAAAGGCAATAGCAGCTTCCCTGGAAACTTGTAAAAAGTCACATATACCTCTGGCTACACACATGCTATAACTCTAACTTGGGGCAAAGTCTGACCAACTTTGTCATGGATAACTACACTGACGTTCACAACTTTCTTGGCAAGAACCCTTAGGCAAAGATAAGACATTTAATTTTGTGCTACAACATATTTTGTAACCTGTAGCTTTGGCACTACATATTTTTGGTATTCTACATTTTTTACTTACATTATTTCTTCTATGTCAGTAAATACAATAGAATTGAAAAAAAAAAAGCTTGATAGCTCTTCTCAGTCACTTAGAAGGCAATTATTTCTCAATAGTTTTCAAGAGAGGAACCACGCTTAAATTGCAATATCCACAAGTTCAGCACTGTACACAGATCTGTAAGTACCAGCTCCCTAAAAGACACAAATCCTTACAGCATCCTTCTTGTAGGCTTTCTTCTTTCAGTAATATCTTCTGTGTCTGCCTTAGTCAAAAGAATTATATGGTTTTTGAAATGACAGATAGCTCTTGGTCCTATAAAAAGCTGCATTCTTAATGTACAGACATCCAGTGTGACAGGTGGACAAGCCTATAAAGGAAAGTGACTGTTCTGTAATTTCACTTGGTATGTACATTGAGTTTTTAAATAAATCAGAAAAAAAAGTAACCTTTGTACAATGATCTGACATTAAAAACATTCACTGGCTTGCCTAACTTTGAGGGCTTCATTTAAGCAAGAATAAAAATACTCATAAAGACCTGACAAGAATAATTTAATAATGAATGAAAAAAAAATATTTCACTCTTCAAAACAACTGCACAGTTTCAGCTATGCTTCTTAAAATAACTGAACCTCAGGTAGATGCCTAATGCAGAAAACTTTATCCCGATTAGTTTGAATTTGGCCACTAGTTATAAAAGTATTGATTTCAGTTGCTTATAAAAAGCAATTACAGATAGAAGTATTATATTTGCTTGCCTATTGTTACCTTACATAGCCAGTATTATTTTCCTGATTTGTTCTATATACACTTTTCACGTAAAACATATGCTATCATCTACACTGGACTAAAAATTAAAAAATGCAGCCTCATTTGCACAGAAATATTCTAAATTTACAGCCTGAAAAAGATAAAAATACTACACTTACAAATTAACATACATAGTGAAACAAGACAACACAGCGCTACAAGAGTAACCTGCTTTTTGAAGACACCTCAACATTTCTTGTAAGACGTAGAGGCCTACAGTGGTGGTCTGGAGGCTCTAGACTGCCCTGGGCCAGTGTGACCCAGAATGAGGCAGCTGTAAACCTGGTTTAAAAAAACAGCAGGAAAAATAGTAATGGCAAATAATAAAAATAACCACCATGACACTTCAAATTCCACACTGGGGCAGGGACACCCATGAGAGAACTGGCCCATGAAGGACTCACTAGCGCAGGGATGCCCCTGAGGGACTGTAGCCTGTGGAAGGATCCATGCCAAAGCTGATGGGCACACTGTGGATGGTAAGCTGCAGCACGGAAATCTGTGTAGGAATACAGCCTGCACACCTCTCCAAAACTCCTACAGACACAGAAGGCAGCCTGTTGACTGACTGGAGGAACTGTGATGGATTTGAATGTAACCCACAGTGAAAATGCAGAAAGCTGAGACTAGGGAATGAACAGGAGAGATTGTGTCACGTGCTGGTATTAGCTATCCAGAGCAGGGAATACATGTTTGACTCTTGAAAATTTTATAAAACTTCTGCTGTCCTATGGTTTCATTATATCTGCTGTCTACAAGCTCAGAAGAAATGCTCCTTAAATGCTACCTTAAAATATACCTCCATCTATCTTTCCTACTACTTTTATTAATGTGTATCACAATCTTTACATTCAATAGATTTTTACTGATAAGCAATTTAAGGAAGGGGAAAAGTTAAGACCTCCAAGAATCAAAAGCCCTCCTCCTAAAAAACATGCCCTAAGTATCTGGTAGCAGACTTGTTCGATTGCCTACAGGCCTCTTAGACAAACTGGTTTTTCAAGGGCACCTAAGAGAGAGAAACATCATACAATAAAAGAAAACTCTGCACTCTTTGTTCAATTTTATACAGAAAAGCATGGAATTTAGTTTTAAAAATAAGTGATTTTATAGCTTCTCGTGTTTTTGAAAACATTCTATAATGTTTAAAATTTTACATGGCAATAATAGATTGCTTCATTGAGACATCTGTAGACCACCAGAATACAAATGCCATTAATTTTGAATGTTATTTTATTGGTTCAGCCACCAGAAACAAACAGGATTTCAAACCTTAAGTGCCGTATCACTACCCCCATTCTATTAGTGAGGTAATGAGAGGTGTACCTTCACGGTCGTGTCAATATATGGATCCTCACCACGAGCTGCTGCTGCACTGCATCGCACTGTGAAGCACTGCAGGTTCTGACTAGACGAAAAGAAGAAAACACAACAATGAAGAAAAGAAATTAAGATTTGCAGAAGTCAGGTAGCCAAGACTACAGTTAATCAGCTCTTTTTCTTTTGAAGAAATGGGCTTAAAAGCCCAAGCAGGAGGGTATGCTGAACTAGCACATGAGCCTGACCAGAGATTTCCAGGAGGCTAAGAAGAATGTATCAGACAGCAGCACAGAGAAACATAGTAATACTATCAGTAAAACCATAAGCCTAGTACCTGGTAATGACGTGCAGGAATTGCGGAGTGAGGACTGCCTGCTCTGACTTCTCTGAATATTGGTAAGTAGAAATTAGTTCTACTAACTTCCCAAGAGAGTAGAGATATCCAACATGAGGTAAAGAGAAAAAGCAGAAGAGACTCAGAAGTTTTCTCTTGTTCTCAGTTTCCTCATAGGCTGTTGCAGAAATTCCTAAATATAACAACGAGAAAGGCATTTTATGTATTTCATAAATAAAAACCTGGCAATTCCATTCCAAGCCTGATGCCTGAAAGACAGAATCAAACCTGCCCAAGTTGCAGACTAGTTTTCTTAGTAGCTAGTAATAAGAAGTTTTATAAGAAGCTCAGTGTCAAAAAATTGTATGACATGTAACCTCATTTGGAAGCATTTTCACAAAAATATGTACGTAGCACCTAGTGAAGAAATTCTATAGATGTAACAGCATTAGAGAGTTCTAAAGTCACCAGAACTAAGCATCCATGGACTGAAAGCCTGATCTTAGACAATTACTTTTGAGTTGGAATGAATGCTCATCCAGAGCTGCAGCTCACAAAAAAGCAGGTATTGCTAAAGGGAAGGAAAGGCTGGAAATTACAGAATTTAATAGTATGCCACTTTAGCAGGTAACAGCTGTGATCATATTCTACAGACACTCTTATCAAAGCCTGTAAATCACACAAGAGCATAAGACAGCTGGAATTAAATGGCAAGTACCTCATTCTTTTCAGTCAGCTGCAAGTTAAATGAGGCATTGCTACTTAGCAGACAGTAAACCATCTCAAACTGAGTGAGGAGTCAGTAAAAGTCAAGGGCCAACCATATCCTAGGATGCATCAGGCACAGCATTGGTGGGGGTGCAGGGATGGGATTGTCCTGCTCTGCTCTGCACTGGGGAAGCATTAGCTTGAGTCCTGGGGGCCGTTTGGGGCACTATAATACAAGAAGGATATAAACCTATTAGACAAGAGAATAAGGGAGGGCTGAAAAGATGGTGAAGAGTCTGGAGCGGAGGCCATAGGAAGAGTGGCTGAGGACACTTGGTTTGTTCAGCCTGGAGGACATTAAGTAGAGATCTAAGAGCATTCCACATGAAGCTCCTGAGGGAATGAAGCTGCGTCAGGGGAGGGTTAGGTTGGCTATTAGGAAAAGGCTCTTTTCCCAGAGGGTTTTCAGGCACTGAAACAGGCTCCTCAGGGCAGTGGTCATGGCCCAAGCCTGCCAGAGCTCAAGGAGCATTTGGAAAATGCTCCCAGACACTTGGTGGGATTCTTAGGGTTCTCCTGCACAGGCCCAGGAGTTGGATTTGATGGTCCTTGTGAGTCCCTTCCAACTCAGGACATTCTATGATTCTACGAAATCTGACTGCAAACATACAGAATTAAATTCTTCCACGGGTCTTTTGGGGCTTGAGCTAGTAAACCCCTGAAATCTGTATTCATCCCTTCCAGTTTTAATTAAGGCCCTTCAGAAGGTAACTAGTATCTTAGTGATTGTTAAGGTTTACTACTCTGATATCCTCAGTTGGCTGAATGGCAGTCTAGTATCTTGTAACACTAAGAAGAATTTTATTAATGTAATGTAAAGAGTAACTGTTTTGCAACACAAAATGTATTGGTAAAGAACTGATACTAGCTGATTTAGTCACACTTACGGGGCGTTGAATTGGTATTTTAGTTCAAGGTTTATGTAGAACTTGGAGGAATTAAAATACTTTTTTGTTAACAGAAGCTCAGTTTAAATCATTGAAAAGGGAGAAAATATCTCAATTTAAAAACAAATCATACAGAAATTACACAGTGTATGAAAGAGGATACACAATGAAGCTCCTGCCTTTCGCAAGCCTCCTGTGACACGCTCCATGGTGTACTCATGCATATCCATTTACCTGTCTGGTATACAGGAAGCAGTTGAACAGAGTGCAACTTCATCTCTTCAGAAAACCCAAAAGGCGACTGGTCGGGTGCAAAACGTCTAGGAAAAAAGAAAAAAAAACATGCACTGCAGTGAAAAATTATTATTATTATATACTTTGGACAAGTAAACAGCACTGGCTACAAGAGGCAAAGCTCATGTTTTAACACTCAACAACAATGCACACTCCTACTACCAATGCCATTTATACCAATGCCAAGAAGCACATGGCACAGCTAGATAGAAATCTATTAATAAGAGTTCCTGCAACCCAAATCCTCTCTCTTCGCTTGTCTGCAAGATGCATGTCAACCTCTGACATCACTGAAGAAATCCCGCAACTGATTTTGACCTCAATTTAACCTTTTTTTTCCTCTTTCTTTTTACTCCACTGAGCTATATGGAACACCATGCCATGTCCAACACTACTTTATTTCTACTATGTGTCATCCTTTTCCCTGCTTTGCTTTGGAATTCACTGTTGGATCCTGGCATCAATTCTTCCTTAGCTTTTGATAGAAATTTTGGTGAAAAATTATTAATAAATCGGCTTTCTGAGGAGGGGACCTTGAGATGCAGGTGCTGAACTCTTCTCCATAGGATCCTGGGAAAGGCTTAAAGCTGTGCCAGGGGGAGGTTTACACTTGACATGAGGAACCATTTTCTTACCAAGAATGGTGAAACACTAAATAGGCTTCCTAGAGAGATGGCTGATGCCCTAGAACTGTCACTGTTTAAGCAGCGTTTGGACTGTGCCTTTAACAATACACTTTAACAGTGGCTCACTCCTGAAGTGGTCAGGCAATTGCAGATGATTGCTGCAGATTCCCTTCCAAGTGAAATATTCCAAGATACTAAAAATGGACTTTCCTCAGTATCCCATGATTTTCTCAGTTCAAAAGAAACACCAAACCTTATAAAAACCCCAGAAGTCAAAATATCAGGAGTTTCCTTTCAAAGAGACAAAACACACAACACAGTTTAGTTTTTTTGTAGTAAATTAACCCATAAAAGGGAAAACACGTCTGTAATACCTGAAAAGCAAATACTGCACTTGGAAGTGCTTTGTGTCTTCTGTAGGTAACTCTGTAGATTCCAGTGTGACAGGTATCTCACATAGCTTACTTTCTTCCCCAAGCAGTTCCACTGGCTTGTGACATATGATGAACTCATCTAATTCAAGCTGTAAAGGATGTGTTGAAGGAGTTTCATCTTTCACACCTGAACAATGAAAATGCTATCTTAATTGTTCAAACCATTCCATGCAGCAGTAAGAAAATAGTATGACAATATCAATTAAATACTCCAATTACAGCTACCCTGCTAGCACTGGCTTCCTCAAACCACAAGATTTTGAAAACAGCCATACTAGAGGATGGGAACAATTCCTATTTAACCATCAACACTCTGAATATTTAAGAGTCAAGATTTCTGGGGAAAAAAAAACCCTAACAGGTAAACTGTTCACTAGAAGGTCAGTCACAGACAACCGGTGCCACAAATGGCTGGTTGTCAAAAAATGTTGACTTTTGGCTGAAGAGGTTTTGAGAAGGCAAAGGCAGCTATCACAGGAAGCTATGATAGCTTATCTTTAGCTCACTTAAGTCCTGGAAGGCAAATCCTAATAACACTCAGAAAGTAACTTGAACTTTTCTATGTAGTTTTTAGTAATTAAAAAATCTAGGGGGAGGACACCATTGTCTGAGTACAGACCCATCTTCACTCAGTGAAGAACACTGCATTTGTATTGTCCCAAGTCTTATTTACTTGTAAATTTTTTCTAGGTGCAGTTTTCATTTCTAAACGACCCTCCTTTTAAGTTTCTTCAATTATAAAGAAAAGACCTTCCTAAGGTTTGTTGATCTGATACATATATTTTTGGAAAAGTGGGGATTGATAATTTATTACATATGGATTGATATCTTGCAATACACAGGAATGAAACCTCCTGAGTACATTTATTTCTGGGATTTTATAATTCTAAGACAATGCCCTGAATAATAAAAAGGACTGAAAAAGGAAAATTTACTTGATTATGGCAGGTTCTGAGCCTAACAGTTAAAAAAATACACAGACATCACATCAGAAACATTCTTAATTGTGTAAGCCAGTTACTTAGGCAGTGACACTGACAGAATAACTTTTCTGAACACATCACACTGACTTACTACTACTATTTTAACTTGGCCCATTGTGGCACCCTAAAACAAGGACTTAATTCTGTGTCTGCAGAGGCTCTAAAGATGAAGCATGATGGCATATTTGTTTGAAATGTTACCCGCAACTGCAGGTTAGTACAACTTTTCATGCTCTAGAATATTCAGCTGATAGTCAGTGATAGGACAATCTGGAAATATCTTCTGAAGGGCAAAGACCTTGTTCAAGACTACTTTCAGAACAATGGGAATCAATTAGCAGATTCTTGGAGATTAAAAAAAATTAAAAATTTATTTCAGCACCTACCTCCATCCACAGCCTTTTCTGGTGCACTGACTCCCTGAGCATATTGCTCTGTCCTGTCTGCACTTTGCTGGACCAGTTCCAGTTTCAGGATTAGAACATCCAGCTCTGTTGTTATGGCTATATGTCTGGCACAAAATGCAACTTCGGCAGGAATGAGGTTATCAATGTGCAAAATTAAGGAGCGTTCAAAATCTAACACAGTCAAATTCTGGTTTATGACACAGTATTTCAAACAGAACATGACTAATTTATTCTTGCAGCCCACAAGTAGATCTCCATTCACAGGACAACATGAAATGCACAGTGGAGGATCTGAAAGTGGCATTTCAACAACTGACATCTGTTCTTTTAAGGCTTCACTGTATGACTCTTCCATCTTGTGACCAACCATACGGACACACACGCGAGAATTCCCTGCAGACATGCATCTCCAGTTCATATATGCTCTTAGGAAAGTTGCTTTGCTTTTTTCTTCAATTGTCACCAGATAGTCTCCTTAAAAGAAAGCAGTCGTACTGATAATAATTTAAAAATAGATTACAGTTTCTGAGCTCTTTATCTGCTGTAGTACTTTACAAAGAACATCTTCAAGTCTCAACTCTTACAAAAAATTCCAAAACCAGTTTTCACCAATATTCCTCTAATTGAATACAAAGCGGAAATTTCTTTGCTGGGTGGCACAAACTTCACACACCACTAAAAGCAAAGACTTACAGATGTAGGTCCAGAGTAAGCCCTGTGTGAATCCTCTCTGTAAGTTTTGATTGCATACAAGGTTCCCCCCACCTCCCCGCCTTCTCATATCCTTTAATGAGGAAACGGTTTGTTCTCTACAGACCATGGAAAGCAATGGACTCGTGAAGAGCTGTGGAATGGGCTGGAACGACCACCCCACTCCGTGCTCTAAAAACAAAATACAAAAAACAATTTTAAAAACCCCGAAACAAAGAAACAACAAAGCAAGCAGGGCGGGAGCACAGACCGCAGCCGAGGCGGAGGCAGACGAGGAAGGGAGACGCGGTTCCCACCCTCCGGGCAGGCCCGAGCGCTGCCGGCGCTGGGACCGGCCCGCACTGCCCGGTCCGGCCCGCAGGCCGGCCCGCTTCAGCAGGCGCGCCCCACCGCCGGCCCGGCAGTAGCCTGAGAAAGCGCCCGAGGGAGACGAGGACGGGAGGGCCAGGCCCTCCTTCCGCGGCAGAGCCCGAGCGGCTTGGTTCGCCGCCCGCATCCCGCCGCCTCCCGCCCTCAGCCCGGCTAGCCCTCCATCCCCACCCGGCGGAGCCCCAGGGCCGCTCCACGCACTCAGACCTGACGCGTCCCGGTCTCCCCGGCCGAGCACTCACGGACCCAGCGATGGCCGGGACTGACCTGCCGAGCTGTGCGCCATACGCAGCACCTGACCCAGCGTGGCGAAGGAGCCCAGGGCCTCGCAGCGGCCCTGTTCGCGCACGGTAAACACCTCCACCCTGCAGCTGGCCGCCGTGCTGGCAACGAACAGCACGTCTTGACCACAGCAGAAGTGCGCCGGTTCTTGCTTGCAGGGCACTACTCGCTGCGACCCGAACGGGTGCAGGTTGTAAAGCTGCACCATGGTCCCGAAAAGTTCCGCCGCAGCCGCGCACGGAGCAGCCGCAGCCTGCCGGGGCGGCGCCCAGCACTTCCGCGGTGGGCAGAGCCGCCTCCGCGCGGCGCTGCGCGGGGCGGGCTCAGGCGGCAGTGTGTGGCCGCCTCCGCACAGGTACCCTCACACGAGGTTCCGTGTGGCCTTGGCGTGACTCAGTGGCTGGGTGACACCCCCGGGAATCTTCCGTCATGGCAGAACAGCGCCGTACACTGGTGGAGCTGTCGAGTGGGAAGAGAAACTGGAAGTGATCCATGAGAAGTCAGACGGAGGACTGAGAACGGTGGCTCATAAATGGAAGACCTTGCTGGCGGGTGTTTAGTCCATGGTTTGTGTGCAGAGCAGCTTTCGCTTGGGCACAGCTTGGAGCTGCTACTGCCAGCAGAAACGTGCCTAATGCATTAGACTACTGAAACCTGGGTTCTTCGAGTCTCCTAGCATCAAAAGCAGATATTTTTCGTACTTAAATGCAGCAATTCTTTCTTAATAGCCAACACCCCCCTCCCCCAAACAAAAGTCTAGTTATTTCACAGAATATTCCCTCAAGGATCACTCAGCTAAAGGGCCTATATGAGGACTGAAACCACAACCTTGGTGTTGTTAGCACCATGCTGTAACTGGCTGGGTCAGCACTTTTTGCACAAGCCATATGTCCTATGATAAAGCTGCTTCTAAAGCTCTATTCATGTGAGCATAGTAGTAAATGCTAATGTAGGAAGGTAAAAATTACTATGTACTTTTAAAGCAGGTAACAGATCCGCTACCAAAATCTGCAATCTCAAATTGTCCTTCCTTCATGAATATGCACATTAATAGTGAAGAAAAAAAAATAAAAAAGCAGCAGTATAATCTTTAGAACTTTATTTGGAAGCACATCTGAAAACAAACAAACAGGGTTCTGCAATTTTTTATTTTTTTTTGGTAAATAGATTTTTCCAGGCTTTAGTTTTCTCAATATTCATCTCCTTCTTCAGCCTCTGCTTCTACTGAGTCTAGGCCAACTTCTTCATAATCTTTCTCAAGGGCAGCCAGGTCTTCCCGGGCTTCAGAAAATTCTCCTTCCTCCATTCCCTCCCCAACATACCAATGCACAAAGGCACGCTTAGTATACATGAGATCAAATTTGTGGTCGAGCCGAGCCCATGCTTCTGCAATAGCAGTTGTGTTACTCAGCATACACACAGCCCGCTGCACCTTGGCAAGATCAGCACCTGGCACCACAGTTGGAGGCTGGTAGTTAATGCCCACCTTCAAGAAAAAAAAAGAGAACTTCCCTTAGGAATGTCAAGGCTTAAAGACTCATTTCTGTTAACAAAAATCACCATGATTACAAATAAATAAAAAGCTTAGTTAATTTTGTACTTTATCAAAATATTTAACAGGGACATTACAACATTGTAGCACAACTGTCACCTCTGAAGACTACACAATTCCTAATCACTTAGACATAGAGTACTTAAAAGGCTACATACCTTAAATCCAGTTGGGCACCAATCCACAAACTGAATGGTACGTTTAGTCTTGATAGTGGCAATGGCTGCATTGACATCTTTGGGCACAACATCGCCTCTGTATAACATGCAGCAGGCCATGTATTTGCCATGGCGAGGGTCACATTTGACCATCTGGTTGGCTGGTTCAAAGCAAGCATGGGTAATTTCAGCCACAGATAACTGCTCATGATATGCTTTTTCAGCGGAGATGATGGGGGCATATGTTACCAAGGGGAAATGGATTCGTGGGTATGGAACCAGGTTAGTTTGAAATTCTGTCAGATCTACATTGAGGGCTCCATCAAAACGCAGTGAAGCTGTGATGGATGAAACAATTTGCCCAATTAATCGGTTTAAATTGGTGTAAGTAGGACGGCCAATGTCCAGGTTACGACGACATATATCATAAATGGCTTCATTATCTACCATAAAGGCACAGTCTGAATGCTCTAATGTTGTGTGAGTAGTTAGAATTGAGTTGTAGGGTTCCACTACAGCAGTGGAAACTTGTGGTGCTGGATAAATTGCAAACTCCAGTTTAGATTTCTTGCCATAGTCAACAGATAGCCTTTCCATGAGCAGTGATGCAAACCCTGAACCAGTGCCTCCACCAAAACTATGAAAGATAAGAAAGCCTTGCAGCCCTGTGCACAGGTCAGCCTATAACGAGGTGGAAAAAAATGTGAGAAAAAAAGTTATCGATGGTTTTGGAGAAATCAGTATTAAAATAAACATTCAAAAGTATTTCTGTCATAAGTTTGCTGGTTTTGCATTGTCAATATTTAGAAAACAGTGTTCTTGAAAGGTTCTGGTTTAACTGATTGAGTTTTTATTTAAAGGGGGGATGGGGCACACCAGGAGATAAAAGGTTTATTTTGAACAATTAACTATGCACAAAATGGTTAACAAAAAACCAGCAAACCATCAATACAGCTAGCTATAGAGCTGTATCAATTACTTTAAATACTAACTTGCAGCATAAATCCTTACCAGTTTGCGAATGCGGTCCAGCACTAGATCAACAATCTCTTTTCCAATGGTATAATGGCCTCTGGCATAATTATTGGCTGCATCTTCTTTCCCAGTAATGAGCTGCTCAGGATGGAATAACTGCCTGTACGTGCCTGTACGTACTTCATCTACAAAAAACCCCAAAATACCACATCATAAATTTGATCGGTTCTGTGTGTGCTGCCTAGTGACTACACACAAAGTACATGTGTCAGAAAAGTGTAGACAGCATCTCTAACTACACACAGCTTGTCTGTCTAGTCTAAGAAATTGGCACAACTTCTGCCCCTTTGTTTCAGGGTAAACATCAGGCACACACAAAGCAGTATTTATACTCAAGGAACACAGACAGCACTCAGAAAACTACATTACAGGTACAGACACAATACTGGATAGCACTCAAGCAAAACTCTGTATGCAGTGCAGCAGTCTGAAAAGATGATCCACATCATAAAAAAGTTCTCTTGTTTTCCAGATATTGTTACTGGTAGATCATTATTTAATTTCTTTCAAGTAACAATAACCACAAATGTCAAAACAGCATCCAGACACATATTTTAAAATCTATAGTGTTCTAAACAAACAAAAAAGACAGTAGGGAATCTGTAAAGGATCCTCACTTTTTCACTAAAGATCTTTAATGTTGGGTACATACCAACTACGGTTGGTTCTAGGTCTACAAACACTGCTCTCGGAACATGTTTACCAGCTCCTGTCTCACTGAAGAAAGTGTTAAATGAATCATCTCCACGTCCCATAGTATTATCACTAGGCACTTGACCATCAGGCTGGATCCCATGTTCAAGACAATACAATTCCCAACATGCATTGCCAATCTGAACACCAGCCTGGCCAACATGGATGGATATGCATTCACGCTGCAAAGTAAAAAGAGAATGATAATGAATCATGGAGCTGCCTGCCCATGGGTTGTATCTTCATTGATCTTTCTCTGCTGCAATATTCCCTGGCTACCCTTAAGTGACAATTTAGGAGAACAAGTTGTTGGCTGCTGGCAAGACACTACTCACCTTTGCTGACCTGCACTGACTTTGTGAATATTGGAAGATCTTAAAGACAACATAGTCCCTCTGTGAACGCAAATTCATTATCCCTTACAATGCTGCATGTATATTCCATCTTTAATATTCAGCCTAGTTTCTGTTTACTCTTCTTTTAGTTTTTGGAAGACCTCTTTATAGAATATCCCCCCAATTTCCTTAACTTGTTTCCACACAATATACTGGGTAACTGTTTCAAGAATCTTTCCTGCACAGGACTATTCAGTACATTTTCCTTTATAATAAGCATACCAGTATCTAGGCCCTAACAATTAGTACGTCTTTTTATTCACACATATTCATATGTGAAATCATTTTAAGAGTCCCAATCACACATAATCTGCCCCCTTTAAGCTAGCTCCTTTGATTCTAAGCAACTGTACCATGTATGTTTAACCTCCCAATACCTCAATTGCCTTACACCTGAGATGAAAACAAGCTGTTTTCTAATTTACTGTTAGAGTGTATCTAGAAAAAAGCAGAGGTGGAAAAGAAACAGCAAGATATTTGGGCTGCTCTTTCCCGTTTCCTTGGTAGCTTCATCAAATTCCAGTCTCCGCTCCAACCCCGCATATCCACCACGAGACTCGCGGCGACCACCGGGCCCCTGACGGCCGCCGGCCACACCCACCCCCTCCCCTGATTGGCTACCCCCAGCGACTGGCGCACGGCACGCACCGCCCGGCCCGCCCCTGACGGCCGCCGGCCACGCCCCCTCCTCTGATTGGCTATGCCCAGGGAGCCGCTCCCGTCGCGCGCCGCCCGGCCCGTCCCTCGAGCACGCGCCGTGCCTCCTACGGCTTCGCGCGCCAAGGCAGCCCAAAACCGGCAAACAGATCTGGCCGGCGGCCACCATGCCCTGTCCCGCTATCTCCCCGCCGCCCGGATAGAGGTCCCAGTTCGTCTCTCGCGTTTTCGCGTGGGAGGTGCCTGCTGCGAACAGACTTCCTTTGCATATATCTTGTCATGCTAGCTATCGGCCGGTTTCTATGCCTAGCCTCCCCTAAAGCTACTAAGCTTTCATACTAATTTCTCTCCTCCCCAACCCTTCTGCCTTAGAGCTACCACGGGGACTTCAAGCAGACTGCCTGCGAGTCCTGCCGCAGCACGTGCAGTCATGAACTCCCCTCAAATGCCGCAACAGACGCGGTCCCAAACGCCCTTTCTCCCCCCGCGGCCACAAGGAATCCGTCTCCCAAACGCCCTTTCTCCCCCCGCAGCCACAAGGATCCCGTCTCCCACCATGGTGCCTCGTTAAGGTGACGAACTCCGACTGCGCCACAATACGTCCTCCGCCGCGACCGACCAGCACCAACTGCCGACCGTTAACCGCCTCGCACCCCTCGCCTCAGGTGCTGGCTCCCCATTGGCCATTACCCGCGCGGACTGCGCGCGAGAGAAGGCCTCTGATTGGCCGAGGGTGCTCTTCTCCCGGCGAGGGAGAAGACGGCCACGAGGCAGAGGCGTGCGCGGGGGCGGGGCTTGAGCGGCCCGGCGCGGGGCGCGCGCGGCCTGCCCTCGGGAGGCGGGAGGAGGCCGCGGGGTGCCGGAGCTTGCTGCCGAGGCCTGCCGGAGCGATGCAGTGGTGTCGCAGTGCTCAGTTGTCTTCCTATGTCATCGTCGTCTGTACTGGTGAGGTGAAAGGCAAGTACAAGTTCCTGTAGCCTCTCCTGATAGTAAAAGGATACATATCTGCTTTCCCAAGGGAGATTTATTTAATAGAAATACAAAACTGAGTGGTACTATAATTACAGTGCCACTCTGTGAGTAGTGAGCGCGCTCTCCATTCCCTGCTTTTGACTAGGTAGATTCACTTTGGCACTGCTGGAGATTGTGTCATTAAGTCCTTAAACCAGCTGAGGAAGAGGGAGGAGACAGGTGCCTTTTTGCTTATATGCTCAGAATGAAATATTAGTAAGAATGTCAAATGAAGTGTCAAATAAAGAGATTTATTGCTCTTGAAATATAAGAATACTAGCGTATTCCAAAGAAATAGGTCAAAATATAACATCTTGATCCCTTTGAACATTAATGTTATTTAATGTTGTCTTACAAAACATTAATGTTTTTGTAAGACAACAAGGAGGACACCCTTGTTGATTTTCAGGATCCAGAAGACCAATGAGATATGGTCAGAATCTTTTTTACAAGGTTGTTGTTTATTTTCCTAAAGAATACAGGATGGAAATTTCTTTTTAATTGTTCAATAATTATTTAGAGCTTAATTATTAACTAAGTATGGTTTGAATTTCTTTACTTAAAATATAAAGCAATCTTAACTATAAATAATGTCACGTCCATAGTATTATTGCTACTTAAACAGCTGCCACAGGAAAATTGCTTATTCCCATTAGGTGTTGTGTTGCATACATCACTGAGCATACTTTAAGTTCTAAGTACCACTTTTCCAAGTAGGATTACTCTTAATATATTTTGAAATGTTAGGCCAGAATTTTCTGTAGTATGGGGCAGCTTGTGTTTTTATGTATTGTAGGCTATATCCTCACTGTGTATTAAGTGTTCTGATTGCATTTTGATCAATATAACTGTTTTGAAGCATGAGAGATCAGAATGTTTCCTGTATGGAAATCTCTGGGTTTAAGTATGTTTCTGTATTTGCAAATGATAAAACTCCTGAAGAATTGCGTGAGACAGTAGTGAGTAAAATTAAGTTGGTTCTGAGCTCTGGTTCAGATGAAGAATGCACAGTTTGCTTAGAAACACTGACTCTTACCGTGATAAGACACTGTGCACATGTGTTTTGTAAAGCATGCAATTTTTGAAGTCCTCAGAAATGAAGAGGTTGGTTGTTCTGTGGTTAAAAGTAATTGTACTAGCAATTTGAAAGCAATGAACTGCTATCACCAGAAGCTATTGTTCGTTTAAATCGTGAAGCGTGTAAACCTAGTTATCATCTGGCTTGTAAAAACTTTTGGCCTGAAGTCTGCAGAGAGTAGCTGTCAAACTGAACTTTTGAACTATCATAAGTTTTTAAAACAGTGAGTGAATAAGCTTTCTTCCCTTGAAAATGATTCCTGATTGCCAAGGAAGTTTTTGCAGCTTTTAGCCAAAACTCTGACATCTAAACGTGCATCTATAAATTCCAAAGTTGACTCTGATATGCATCTAAATTCCCAAGTTGGGGAATTCACTGTTTCCACATGATAGGTATTTGTACTAGTACTGCATTTGATCTGGGTAGTTTCTGTGCCTGAATAGTTACAATGCAATTCTGTTATAGTAAATAACATGGGAAAGTACTTCAGGTATCACCTTGAAAACAAAGGAGACCAACAAACTGCATACCCTCTCTCCACAGCAGCTTGGGTTTAAGCAGGATTCTTCCAGGCAAGATAATGGTTTGCATTATTAATACAAATGAGATGTGAAGCTGCAAGCATAAAACTGCTGAGTGAAAAGTTTGGCATGTCATGGTGTTACAAACTTGGAAATAATTTTCTTTCTAATGTTCACCTAAAAGCATTTACCGAAATTGGAAAAACTTCTTGGTACTTAACGACTTGAGAGTTAATACTACCTTCATTTCAGTCTTCTGTTGAGACTAAATTTAGAGTTGTGCAAGTAAGTAAAAATCCTATGCAGAAGCCACAGTAAATCTATAAGATCTCTATAGCAATCTGTCTTTGTGTATCAACTGCATTCTTATAAAAGCTCGCCAGATATGCATTCAAACATTTTTTTTCTTCTTCTAGTTGTTCATTGTGAGACTTTTTTGTCATTTTCATATGCTTTTGCCATAAGTCTTCAGTATCTGTGTTGGCAATGTTCAGCTGACTTTTGTGTTTTGTTTATAATTACAGTACCAAAGTGGAGAAGGGATTCATAAATATGTGAGCTTTTTATTAAAAAAAAAAAAGAAAAGTCTATGACCACTGTTAGGAGGTTGTGGGATTTTTTCCAGAAAACATTTTTCAGATTTAATAGACTTTAACAGCCATTTATTTTGGCTTGCCACTGGAGGATTTTAGGTTTGCTGCCAAATCAGGAATGGCTCATTCATTCACTAAGTTATTTCCAATTTGTTTGTGTTAAAGAGTCTGTCTCTTGAAAGGATATCTTTATTGCTGCAATAAATTAATGTATCAGACTGTGACTGCGAGTCTCTCTAATTGGTTAGCGATTCATTCCAGATTAGCAACCCCCAGTATTCATGTGCTTTGTGAGGTCTGCTTTGTAGCCTCTCTAAAGATGCCTTGCCTTTTTATAGAAATCTGTGGCCAGATTTCTATATAAACAGAGATACCTAATTTTAAAGGGTTGCTCCATTAGGCAGAAGTTTTTCATGTCTGTCATTTTTGCCTCACAAAGTTGTCTATTTGTACAGTGCACACAGACTATTATTAAATTTTCTGAGTAGTCCTATGAAAGTGCTATTGTATAAATTTTGCTTTATCTAGAATGTACTTCAGAGAAAAAGGCTTTTGGTCTTAAATTACATCTCATTTCCTGTGTCTGTTGGGGAAAAAGAGAAGATACCCCTTGTCTTGTCCTGACAAAGCATATTTCATCAGACTGCTATTATTTCTGTGCAGGCTTTGAAGAAAAAGGCTAAAAGGTTTGTAACTAAGAAAGATACTGTCTTTGAAAGATGGTTTATTTTTTCTCATATTTTAAATAATCTTACTCTCATAGCCCAAATATATCCTTGCTTTAAAACCTTAAGATACTTATTTAAATATAAATATGCTCAGAAAGAAGACCAATTCACTTTTAAGGAAGGCTGAGTATTTATATATAAAATGTGCAGTGTTTAGGTCATGTTAATGTTCTTGCAAATAAAATATTTTGACTGTCATGTGAGAAATGAGAAAGTGTGTTACAAGAATGAATCCTTGAGGATGTTTTTACATCAATATGATAAATGCATAAAAGGTGCTTTGTAAAGGTGGTATTTATCATTCACTATAAATAACTAGATTTAATAAATTTCTTTTAATGTTGTTTGGGTTTTTGCACAGCCAAATGCCCTCTCTGTAGGAGTGAGCTTCAAGTAGACAGCTTGGTGGAATGGTCCCCTGGAAGAGGAAGTAGACTCCAGTAATGGAAAGAAGACTGATCAGGAGTGGATATCTAGCTGAAAGGTGAATTCTATTATGTTTCATTTGCTTTCATTACGTTTTTGTAGAGCATACTTTATAATTGTGTAAATATACTGAACATGTTATAAGTATGGATAACATACTTCAAGTTATTATTTAGAAGTCTGTCCAGCATGTCTAGCCAGCACAGAAGAAAATGCATACTAAAATCACACCATAAACAAACTGCAATTCCCTTGCAGCAGGGAAACAAGACAAAAGGAATAGCAGTTGTAAATTGATGCTGGTCATTGTTCGGTACATAAATGTGCATTAATTAAATAAAACTTCAGGTAAAGAGCTTTGCTTTTTGTTTCAGTTTCTGAAGATAGAGCAGTTTTATAAACACTGAAACTTATTCAAATCTTAATTTACTTTTGGAAACGAAATCTAAATAAATAATTTATTAAATCTTATTTAAGCAATATATATTCTGCTCTAGAGGGGGAAACTAAATGGGCATATGTTCAATACAATACTTGTCAGAAAAAAAACATTGCAGTATTGTTATTTTACTTTGTAGAATTGTTTCTCAAGGTCTGCCACATCATTTTTCTTTGTCTCACTTTCATTTGCTGCCAGAATTTCTATCTTTCTGCTTGTACTTTGATTTTTTCATTTTGAGATTGCTTTTCTGAAACATTAAGTTTTTAATTTTTAATTAAGAAAATGTTCTTTCAAATGCTGGTTACAAATTTGTTCCCTAAAAATCTCTTTGTGGAGACATGAGTTTCAGACATCATGCTCTAGAATAAATAATTATTTTTATTCTTTTTCTTTTTAGCTGGTGCAGTTACTTTCATTCTCTAGTTAGGTTTAGCTATGATGACATAAAGAATCACTTACTGAGAAAACTAGCAGCGTTCTTCTGCCTCAAATCCCATTCCTTGTTCCTTTTGTTCTCATGCTGGTTCCAAAAGAGCTTCTGGTGCCTCCTTATTCCCTGTCATACCTAGCCAAGGGTCTTGCTTACCTTATTTGTCTCAGTATGTCTGGGGGAAGCCTTTTTTCACTTCTTGAGTATTGCTGTGGTAGATCACTTGCCTTGGGGCTGTCCATTGCTTAAGCCTTGTTCTCTCAAGTTCCAGTACTTTGTTCTTATTTTCCATATACCCTGGAGATAGAAGACTTGCAGACTTTTGACCACATGAAGTATGTCTGGAAAATTGGTTGTGAATTCTCCTTCCCAAAGCACTCTCAATCATCCTTAGTTTGTGGCTATTAAAAAAGCTGAACCCTTAGTTTCCTGTGGAAATTAGAAGAAAGCCTACTCACAGAATTCAAGATTAGTTCATTTAAAAGGTATTACTGAACAGTGATTTCTCTCAATTGATGTGAACTTTATCAAAGCCATCTGTAGGAATGGACTGTAGCCAAGTCAAAATAAGTTCCTTTCATTTCAGATAAATATTTGATTTCAGATAAACACTCTTATGCATGCTTTAGTAGAACTATGGAGGGATAAGTCCAGATGCTAAATGTCTTGTTGTTTCTCAGTTCACAACTTTCTTGTCACTGATAGAAAACTGTTTGAAGTAAGTAGAACTGATGTTATTTTTAATAAACAGGTCATTTTATGGTGTTTCAGAAAGATCTCTCAAAGAAAATGGAATTTCAAATATGCAGAGGTCAGGATTTTAATGTATTTATTTCCTGTTGTCACCCAAAATGGATTGTTAAATTCAACATTTTTACTTTCTCTTTAGAGAATCAGGGCTTGCATTTATTCATTTGGATGGGTCAATGGCACAGAAGAAAAGAATGAAAGCAATTTGTTGCTTCCAAAGCAACCAGGCAGGGTCCTGAACTGTAATGCTTTTGTCTCTGAAAGTGGGTGGAGTTGGATTAAATGTGACAGCAGCCTTCCTAGTGTTTTTAATGGATCCTGCGAGTAATGGGTTGTTCATAATGATACGGCCTAATCTACGTGAAACTTCTTTGGTGTTTTTCTAAGAGGCAGAAGGAAAGCCTCTCTGAGAAAGAATGACACTGATGAGTATCTGTTTAAAAGACAAATAGGACTTCTTTTGTTTCCCTAGCATCTTCTTGTTTTAACACTATATTTTTGTGCTGTCTATTTATTTACTGTAAGTGGAAGAATGCTAGTAGTACTACTAACAGAGTGGAATGACACCTTACAGTGTAGCATATGCTATCTGTTCATTCTTCATGTTGCTCTTTCTTTCTGATACTTTTAAATGAGGCTTTCTATTTGTTGTTTATGAACTTCAAAAGCCATAAAGTGCAATTTGAGGAACAGTATATATTTAGTGTAGTACTTGTCTGCTCTAGTCTCTTCTGCTATTACTGAGAATTTATTTATAAATTAAGACATTAGTCTGAAGTTACATTTTGTGGCCATGGGAGTCTGGTAATGCCCGCATTAGGAAGTTTTTTTCCTTTCATTAAAGCACTCAGAAATGCAGAATTATTTGTAAAGAATAAAAATGTAAATTACCTTTATTGACAGCAAAATACTTTCCTTAGCAAAACTGATTCATGTGTTGCGTCATTGTACCAGATTAAGGGATTTCTATTCACTTCCTGCCTTCCCCTGTTTACTCCTCTGAGTAATTACAAATGTGGGGATTTACAAGTGAATTACAGATGTACTGTAATTCACTTGTAATTCCCAAGTTTTTTGGCAGTTGGAAACTGTAACAAAATCTGCACTAGAAAGAAACAGAGTAAATTAAAACGATAGTTTAGCTTTGGACTTGGGCATCCATCACCACCAATTGTAAAGAAAAAGTACTAGCTTGGACATCAGGTAACAGTATGAAGACAAAAGCTATTTATTTAATAAATCAAAGAAATTAAGTATGAATAAGAATATGGAGAAGTTGCAATGAAAGAATTTTTTTTTCATAAATCACAATGCATCTTCACAAATATTGCCTGTGTATGGACTGCATTGATCCATTCAGTTGGAGGGGATCTGCACTACCATAATACCACTGCCATCAAGTCTGACTGCTTTTTTTTTTCAACAATTCTCTGAATACTGCAGAAATATTGTAGAAACTGCAAAATAATTTTAATCTTCTGTGAAGATAATGAATGAGGTATAATGAATTCATCGTATTGTGGCAAGCAGTTGTAAGAAAATAAGCTAAGCATTGCTAACACTGAGTCATCTACAGTCTATAGGTATATCTAACAACCCAGAGCCAAATATAATTCCTGCCTTTATAGACCATTGAACAGCAACTTCTCATCCTGCTGGTAGCCATCATGTGATGGTAGCCAGCCCAAGCAGCAGTGGTTGACTGCTTGTGTTTGATGGAGGAGCAGTGGGTCCATGTGATCTTTTATGATCTCACTTTTGAATAATCAGTGTCAAATGAGATTCATTCATGCATTAGCATTCCTTGAAGTGCACTAGCGGCAACAATAGATTTAAGAAGCAGAAATACCAGTGGAGTAATCAGTTTTTAAAATTCTGTGGATATATGGTAGAACTGTAGCTTGGAGAGCCGTATTCCTTCTCTGAGAGGTGCAAGGGAGGAATATTTGTCCAACTAGATTACTTTCTCTCTCCCCCCTCTTTTAAAATTGCTTGTTTGTTTAAATACAATCATAGATGCAGAATTCTTACCTTTAGGAAGAAATACGAACCTTTAATATGAGAATATCACAAGTATACAGATGTTTCTCTAAGGCTCAGGTTTTTTAATATTTTCCAATGTAAAATACAGTATACTTTGTATGAGATACTGCAGAAAGGTACAGATGTACTGTAATTCACTTTTTCTGTGCTGGATTGATAAGAGTGAAAGTAGTACACTTCAGTCTTTCTTGACTACAGCAAAAATAGAACAGAACATACTTCTGCATGTTTGGGCTAGGTCTTTCCTCCAGACATCATGTTATTCTCGTACGGTGAGATTAATAATAGAACAGTTTGCCATATATGGCTTGCCAGGAATGTTCATCTTGCAGTGAAAAATACATAATTTGTTGCTCTTTTGCTTACTACCATAGGTTGGAGAAACGAGACCTGTTTGGCTTTTATCTTGCAGCTTGATGTCTCTGAGTGTGTGTAGGCATCAGAGGTTCTTAGAATCTAAAACAAGTCATTAAGAAGAATTCTTAGGCAACCTGCCTAAGTATGCGGGTGACATGACAAGGCGAGCCCATTGCATGAGACTTGCTTACAAGGGACAGAACATTATTACAGCTGATGTAGATTTAAGTATCTATTTTCTGAGAACTAGTAGCACTGTACTTGTGGATAGATGAAACATGCTGGAAAAATGCAGAACACAGACCTGGCATTTCACAGATCCTCACATTTAATGTTACATCCAAAGTATAAGCACTAACAGCTACAGTACTGTTTTGTGTTCAGCAAAATTTGTTGTTTACCTGACATGGTGATTATTGTATACACTAATGAAAGCACTGAAGAATCTCAGTTGAGCATGAATGTTTATGTCTGTTCCTTTCTTGCCATTTGATTCTTGTCTTCTGATATGTGTTTACCTAACATTCTGCTCCCTTCACTGTGATGCTCAGACTTTGAATTTATGTGGCTATGTCCTGTTTAGATTTGGGAAGTGTACTTGAGTAGCATCAGCAAAGCTTAAGGGATATTTATACCTGTTGAATATTTTAGTTAGACTGCTTTGAAGCTCATTTTTTTAACTGCTCAAGAGTTTAGGGAAGACAGAAATGCATGACAACTTTTTATTTTTGTATCAAGTGCAACATTGCAAGGAACAGATAAAACTCAGTTTACTAGTCCCATAGTATACAGAACTGAAAAACGCATTCTGCCATGCTGCAGGCACTGTGCGTAAGAACCTGGTCAAAATTTCAGTGCAATTGTGACTGGAAGAGCAAAGCAGTGCTATTACTGTTACAACTGTATGTATCCCATATTTATGGTAAAGCAGAATGGCTACCACTCCAGTGTATGAGCAATCCCATGAATTAGATTTTACATCTAAAACAGCAAGCAAAGGAATCAATGCTAATCACCTAATGAGGTGAGGTAACAAACCCAGTTTAAAGAATATGTTGAGCCAATTGATCAAAACAGAAGAAATTTTAAGATGAAAATGCCTGGTTTTATCTAGTATGGAGAATTTGGAAATAGGGCAGTAATAGGTGGCCCAAGGATTCTGCTTCCTAGCTTTTGCTCAGTCTTCATCTGTAGCACTGCAGAGGCCTTCAGCCAAGAAGTTTTTCCTTAAGCTACTAGCAAGTGTAACTGACCACCATCTCTACCTTCCTAGCTGTTAGTTCTGGAACAAGTCCTTGCATCACCACTGTTTGAGACAGGCACTTCTACTGAAGGTAGGTATCAAGTTTCTTCTTGATGTTGTCAAAGGAATCCACTCCCATATAGTCAGCTTGGCCCTGTTCCCACCGTTCCTTGCGTTCTTCTGAAGATTCAGTTGGTAATAGTGGTGATACTGATACGTGGGACACTGCCTCTGTAACTTCTGCCTAAAAGGAAAGGTTGAGTAAAAATATAGAAATACTTTGTACAGCTAAAGCGATCAAAAGGTCATAGAATGGGACAACAAAGTTGATGTTATCATGCGCAGTAGCAAGCATTGCCAATGGGCAGGGATTGTGCAGCTTTCCTAGCAAAATAACAAAGCAGAGTTACAGAAGTTAGCAAGGGAAAAAAACAAAGAAAAAAAGTAAAATTTAAGTTCTTCATACCTCTCTACAGAAGCCACAAGAGAAAGCCAGAGTATAGACCAAACCCGATAGCTGCAAATAGTTTGTTAGAAAGATGCAAGATTACCAAGAGAAGCACATCTGAAGAGGTCAATAACTTTGGTCTTAGGCTGAGAACTTAAACTGGTCCATGTACTAAGCTAAGACTAAGAAGTCTGCAGTCAGATGCAGGCTGCTAAACTCTATGAATAAGAACTAGAGTTAGAAGCATTGCTTTGGTTGTCCTAAGCATATCTAAAGGTGATTCACCATGCAAGATCTGTATGTACACATTTGCATGCTGAACTGGGGTTCTTCTGCTTGAGAACCTTATTAGCTGCAACACATTAAGACTTAGACCCTTCTCTGTATGAATTAAAGAAGTTACTACATCAAAGAAGTTACTACAGTTTAAGAGCTGGTGCTACATTAACTATGTACATGGTTTGTTTTAGGTAAGCATACCATCATGTCCAAGACCTGTCTAGCATGCTTCTCTTTTATAGTATTATTTATTCCAAGCTTAAAAGGACAAAATTAAAATACCCTGCATCCCACGAACTAAACTGCACCCATGCTTTGAGATGGACAGAGGGAAGGGAAATTGATGCAATGGTAAATAACCTGTCATCCATACTTAGGTATGGATGTACAAGATTATTAGAGCACGTACCATATTTACCCCTGTAGTAATTTCTTTAACAATTCCATGCTGTTCTAGTAATGGTAAAACATCAGCTATGTAGGTATCCCACCACATGTTGAGGAATTCTGGGTGAACTATTTTAGGGTCATCCATGTTGCCCTTTAGGCTTTTTGTTCTGGAGTCATACGTATAGTTCCACGGCTTTGTGCTTCCCAGGAAATGCACCACCTTAGTATTTGCACCAAACCTGTTGGGCAGAAAAAATTTAGAAGTTGGTTTGTACATGTCTCTAGAAAACAAGTTTTGACAGGCAGACATAACTTTTTTTTTTAACCTATTATTTCCGTATTTGTCCAGAAAACAGAAATATGAATATATTTAGGAGGCTAAATGCTAAATGATCAAACTTCCAATGCCTATTGGGACTGAAAGCATTGCGATACAACGGGAAAAATGCAAGCTGAATTCTACATTGCACTAGTCAGAATACAACCAAAACCTAGTGGCCTGGGCTATTTAAATACTTACAGACAACTCAAGTCTTTAGGGTGATGTCCATAGCTCAGGGGAGAGCAGTCTCAAGCAGCCGTTGCAATCAGAACTGGTTTTAAAAAGTGAAAAATATTCTACTCCAAAGTCAGCAAGCCAGAGAGTTAAGCATTAAAAGTACTATTTGGAGAAAGGTCAGTCTTAAAGAGTTACCCTTTCAGTTTATAGCCCTGTAGAAATGGATCATTGGATGGCTCTGCTGCAAGGAGACCATGTCCCTGCAAAATAATAACTTTGTATAACGAACGCATTTCAGAAGACTCCTGATCTCTGTGCAGCAGGGTATTGCTAGACAGCCCTCACTTCCTAAATAACCCTTAGGGCAATCATGCGTGTGTTTGATAGTGGGTTGTTTTCATTTCTTTTTGAAACCATTTAAACTCTGTTTTCAATATGGACTTCTAGCTTTGTCCCAGTTGTTACCAGTATGTTCGTCTGTATTAAAAGTAAAGATGAAATGCACCTCTTCTCAACTAAGAAACTTAACACTGAAAGAGACAACATTCATGTCACTCTCCTACAGTTTCAGAGCTGGGCTTTAGCTTGATTCAGTTTTGTGAACAAGCAATACTACTCTGTCTGCTAACAGTGACTATCTCACCTAATTCAGTTTGTATCACATTAGGCTTTCTTGTCAACATAATATGACTGAAATGGAGAGTAACATCAAGTACCTGGCAAAATGTTTTATTAAGCAGATGCTAGTCATTTTGACCAGGACTCAGGTGTTAAAGAGTTTTGTGTATGGAGACAATATGCATGTGTTTCAAAAGCCATAGAATATTCAAACCAAGTATGCATTTGGATGGGGTTGTAGGTTTCATACTATTTTAAGGTCCTTGACTATATTTTAATGTTCATGTTCAATGTTTTCAATACAACTGATCTTATTGCAGAATGAAGACTTATGTGTGTGTGAAAGGCCAAGTATTTGCTTTAACTGCATGAAAAAAAGTAATCTTCAAGAGGTCAGTTACTGTGCTTTGACTTTAAACCCCAAATGTCAAGATTCAGCATAAGGAGATTACCTTAGTTTTTTATTAGCTGTCAGTACTAAACATGAGTTTTCTTCATCTTAGGCTGTTGCTGTTCTAAGGAAACTTATTTTTCAAAAATCAAGGGAAGTTAAGCTAAAGAATAGAATGCATAAGAAGTATCATATGACACTTGTTGCAAATGGAGAAGTATACTCTTGGTATCCTGTCCAATTACAGTCCGAACAACAGATGCCAAACTTCTACAATGTTTTCAGCATCTGCTTTCTAGATATTTTCTGGACCTGCAATACTTTATTTTGGCATTTAAGCTCAACTGTTAGGAAGCTTTATGTCCACACTGACCTCAGCAACTAATCTGTCTTTCCACATCTCCCAGAAAAGTCCTTCATCAATGTTTTAAAGTTAGAGAGCATTTGTCATGAATTGGCATTTTCCTTTGGAAAAAGGATTACTGAGACTGCTGTGAAATCCAGTCTCGCTGTACAAAGCTGCAAAAAACTTAGCTATTGCTGTCAGTAGGCTTAAATTTCACTATATTCTAACTGTTGATTATCAGGAGTGCAATTGCTGATCTAACCAAGGGAACTTGTTCCACCTCTTGAGCAGGGAATGTTACTTACAAGGGCTGCACTTCCAACATTTTATTTTTGAAGGTCTGATGAATTCAGTTAAGCAACTGATTTAATCAGTTAAAGATATTTTTTGTAAGAAGCTCCCAGATACAATTAGTATTCTGTGGCAACAAAGTAATTTGTAAAATTAAGGTCATGTGACTAAGAGCCAGCCATGGAAAGAGGACATACTTTACAATAGATGTTAGTTTATCAAATGCTATCCAGCTACTTAGTCATTCTGAGGCTTGCATATATTTCTTTAAATAAGTGTTCCACTTTTAGCATGACAAGATTCCAAATAGTATTCTGATCACAAGACATAGTTTGATCTTGAGCCAGCAAGCCCTGCTTATGCCAGCTGCTGCTTTAGACACTAGTAACCTGATGTCATTCAGAGATCAGATTGTTTTTATGCACTTGGCAGTTTCCCTCTTCCTTGCCTCCAACTTCTGTAGCTCATAATTTATAAAGAGTTTCTGTGTGTTTCCCTTCTTCCCCCCCCCCCACTTCTCCTGGACTGTTATAACACTTTCAACAACCCTGCCACTGACATACCACTTACTCACATGCCACACTAATGTTGCTGGCTAGGGAGGATACAGGCTTTGTCACAGAGGAAACATGCAATGATATGTGGTTGGCTGTATTATTTGTTCCATCTTGCTGTTAGTTAAGGAACTGACAGAGGTCTAGAAAGACTGTTAGGAGAGAATTCTAGCTTGATACAAATCTTTGTTCACCACACTTATTTGAATGGTATAGGTTGATTAGATGAAACTGTAACTACAGGTTGTTAAATACCCTAAGTAACCGGAGTGAAGAAAGGGCAAGTTATCTAAGTGGAAAGGATACCACCAGTGACATGCTGAAGGTCAGCTCAAGTTGTTTAAAGAGCCTACAGCCATTGGTTAGAACTGTTCTAGACTGTATCCTATACTGGAAGAGTGGTTTATCCTTTTGCAAGTGACCTGTCAAATGTGCTTACTCAACTTCAGTGTTACCACCAGGGATGAGTGATTTAAGCTACAGATACAGCTGAATTTGACTTTATCAATTCAACCTTTTTTTTTTTTTAAGAGAAGAAGTTATGATATTTTGAGTGGCAGGAACAGTCTACTTCTAGAAAAGCTGTGTAAGCTCACATCATGCCTGTTCATTCTGTTACAAGAAATTAGTTTATGTAAACGCTGAAGGTCTCCTCGAAGTTTTCAACTTACGCTTTAAATGCTGGAAGGTAGGAATATACAGAAGTGCTGCTCAAATTATAAATAAACGGTAGATGTTTGCTCATGTCTGTTGTTGCCCAGCTGCTGAAGAAGGTGTTTAATAATCCCTGATCTGCACCTAAAAGAGAAAGCATTAATAGGCTACGAGCATCAGACAGCTGTTTGAGGCTCTTTTTCAGTCACTTTCCCAAGTAAGAGTTGGTAATGCAGTTATCATGTCCTGTAGAAGTCTGGCACAGAGCACTACAGTTCTATTTGTGAACAACCCTGTAAACCTTGCAGCCTTTGAATATTCTAACAATGCAAAGAATTAAATAGTTTACATGGGGTTACTTTTGTTAAAAGATAGGAAGCCGCTCACAAACTCTGCCATTCAGTTTCTTTTACAGCTTAAGTTCAATCTGTATAATGCAGCAAAAACACCCCACAATAAAACAGAACAACTGAGCACTGCTCAGCTGTAAGTCAGAAGATCAAATGGCAACAATTAGTTTTATTACTTATGCTTACAGATGCATGACTAACAATCTCACTGACTAAGTTAGGGTATCAGTGGCCTGTTAGACCTGCAGTCCTAGATGCATCTACCTCCCCACTGATCTGATAAGTAAAGCACATGTAGTCTTGTTGACGATTCTAGTAAAACTCCATCAAATTCCTGAACAGATTATAGGTGTTCCTAATGCTATACTAAAAAGCTTCTGACTAACCACTAAATGAGGATAACAATCTGTGTTCAGAAGGATTACGTCTTAGTTTGCAAGTAGAGGTTGTTACAAGGTTAAATGAATCTGAAGTTGTTTGGTATCTGAGTAGTAGATTAGCTAAAAAAATAAATATAGCCTTCAGGCCGGAGTAGACTAGTTTATAAGCAGTGGCTGAGAAGTAAAAACCTATTTATCTATATCCATTCATTCTTTATCGATTAGTCTTTAAATGGTAACAATCCCTCTTATCAACGAGATTGAAGGGAATCCTCTGATCACTTGCTGTGTTCTTTCACCTACCACTGCATTCACAAGTAGCATTACTTGTGGGGTAGGTAAATGGATAGCTTAGTTTGTAGACAATGTTTCATTTTAATCTTTCATTTTCTTAAGCACTCAGTTTCTGCTGACTCAGAAAAAGGTTTTTAGTGGCCTATGATTTGATGTAGGGCAGTATTAAGTACACCTTCAGTACTGTTTGAGCAGAATTTGCTTTTTGCAGCTAAAATATCTAGACGCTGGGCATAAACTTAGATGTACAGACAGTACACTGACAAATATAAATTCTAGGTATCCTGTTACAGCTGTCAGCATACATGCAGATTGCAGAGTGAGAAACAGCCTGGAGACTCAGTCCAGCAATTTCAAACCTCTGACTTGCCTCTCAATCTATAAAGGAAGGAAAGCACTTTTGAAAAACTTGTATCCATCATAAAAGAACTGAAAGGGCAGCAACAGTGTATTTAATGTACTCTACAGCAGTCTTTCTCGCTCAGATTGTTTAACATACTTGGCCTTTTTTCAGATTGCATGCATTTGTGCCAAAGCAGACAATGAAAGCAGCATCTAGCCTGTCCTAACTGAGACAGGATCTCACACATAAGGTGAAAAATCAGGCAGAACTTATATTAGCTACATATTTACAGATACGTATCAAGGTACAATGCAGCAAGACTGAAAAAGCAACTATTTTGGATCTCGAGCTAAAGAGCAAAAGGCTTGTCTAAGCAATAGCAACATTCTTAAGGTAGCAGTACTACCAGATTTCTTCTAATACAAAAGTTTTCTTTCCTCTCCACTACTTTTAGATGGTACCTAGAGTAGTTGCCTGACATATTCTTTATTATCTACAAAGGTGAAGTTTAGATAGACAAAGTAGATGTCTACATAAATAGCCATCATTCTGCCATTTCTGGACAACAGTACTACACAGGAGGCAGCTGTCTGCTGTTACATACAAGAAATATTCTGGAAGGTCTTCTATTCCCTAGTTAGTCCTACTGGTAACAAGGTACTTGCAATGTGTAGCTATAATATTTTATGAAAAATCCTTTCTTAGGATTTTTACCATCCTGAGGAGCTGAGAGCTTCAGGAAAGAAATGTAAACAATAACTACTTGTTGCTGTGGAATGCAACAGGTGCATTTTCTATTAGTTTATGTGGATTGTTTTCAATTAGCGACCAATCACAGCCACTTGTTTTAAGACTGTGAGCAGTCACAAGATTTTGTTATGTATTTTACTCTATTTTATTCTTGGTTTTTGTAACTTTCTGATTTTTCTTCTCTCTCTGTTCTTTTAGTATAGTTTTAATGTAGTATTTTAATATAATATATAACATAATAAATCAGCCTTCTGAGAAAAATGGAGTCAAGCCTCGTGTCCCCACACTTGGATGGTCCGCCTCAACAGCAATGTGACTTCAACTACACATAGTTTCGTAGGTTGTTAAGTTTGCATCCTTGTGTCCCATTAGAGAAACCTGTGAAGGGTCAGTGCTTTTAAGTTTCCTAGGCCCTTTTATTACACTCTAGATCAATTTAATTTTCAATTAACTTTCTCCCTACTAAGTTCCTGGGCTCAGTACTAGCTTACACAGATGGTCTAGGCCTCCATGGTGTCATTACTCAATCAGTGCTACCATTTAATAAAAACTAGGTAGATTTTGAAGCTGAAGTACAAACAGTTCTAGAAATTTGATAACTAAACAATTAGCCCACTATTTTTGCTGTTAAGTCTTTGCTGCAACAATTGCTTTGCATTTAGGACAGAGGAAGTTTCACTATTGCATGGCTTTAGCAAGTCAAAGCATATTGCAAAACCAGTTTTATTTGTTTTGGGTTTTTTTGATTGGTTGCTTTTGAGCGGGTTGGGGGTTTTTTTGGGGGGGGGAAGGGTAGGGGAAGGTGTTTGGTTGGTTTTGTTTGTTTTAATGCGACAATTCAGAATTATGCTACAGATTTTGCCATATCTGGTGATCAATTTGCACCTTTGACTTTCATTATATGGCAGTATTCATTTTCATTGGGTAGCATTGAGCATGCAACTGTGACCAACATTCTTTAGAAGGTCACACACAAGAGTCCTTATGGTAACAAGGATTATTCTACAGATTAGGAGTGGCATCTGAGTATTTTACTTTTCACAAAGTACTGAGAGGAAAGTCAACAGGCTAGCTCATTACTTTTTATCTGAGAGTTTCATTTTGTAGTCTTATTTACATAGTTTTCTGATTTTTTTTCAGTTAGACTTTGTTTTCTACCACAGTAGTTACATAATGAAATTAAGTGACAGGGTGACAGGAGACAGTGATACTCAGAAACCTTTAACTATAGCCGTCTCCAAGGGACAGATGCTTTTACTGCAACAGTAACAGATATAGTAGATTGACAAGACAGCACAACTTGGCTTCTCAAGCTTAACCCTGGTACAGTGGCAGATCCCAAGTAACCTATAGTGGGAAGCAGCCAAGGCTACTACATGCACTTGATATTGGGAAAGAGACTGTCACCACCCTATAGAGACAGGAAGCCATCATATAACATATGAAGAGATAGCTGTATCTTCAAATTTTTGATTCTCTGAAGCTGTGCTCAAATTGACCAGTACTAATTTTTCTATAGCAGCCTGAGTTAGTATAGAACATCCAAGCCTTGAGTGTTAGGAATGTCTGAAGCATAGTACTGGAGTTTCATTTCTTGTTTTATGATTTCTTGTTATATGATTCTACACCTGTATGTCTGGAGGCCAAACTTAGTTTTTATCTCATTAAGCCTGAAAAAAGTAATTTTACTACATATTATAATGATAGCTTCTATTTCTGAGAAGGATACAATTTTTGCACAGCTACAATGAGAATTCTATCATACAGAGTCCCCATAAAATATATGTAGTTACTGAGCCATCCCAAGTACTGTCACCATTTTGGTCTAACTTACACTGAAATACAAATTAATACATACCATCAAAGCTGCCTTTCTCTGTGGCAAACTGTAACAGCTGCCTGTATGTTTCAATGGAAGGTCGGTAAACAAAAACTCCTGAATTAAAACAGTCAGGCCAGCCTGGATCTGGTGCTGCAGATAGCTCTTCTCTCTCAAAAAGCTCATCTATATTTGACAAAACCTAATTATAAAGGAGTTTAAAAAAATGGTTTTAGGTTAGGAATTGTGGTATCATGTTTTTATGGATTTTGGCATCAACACTAAGACATGAAAGGAAGTTCTTGTATCAGTGTTCATCTTACAAAAGACAATACTTTACAGAAATAGTCCCCACAGACTTCATAACAATTAATTTAGTTTAAAAGGCACACACATTCTTACCGTTCCTAGTCCATTTATTACCCCTACTCTTAAAAAAACCAAAACAAAAAAACACAGAAAAAAATCCAAAACCCCTGATACTAGGTCTTTGAGAGATACCATGAGACACAGCCACTTACCATTGTGTCTGCATCCATGAAAACACATTTTGAAAACTGTGTCAGTTCCCAGCAGTGAAGCTTTGTAAGTGTGATGCCCAACTCAGGTCTTTTCATTAACGCCAAGTGTGCTGAATCCCCACTGTCCAAGACATTTACCAGTATGACTTCATCAAAGACTTTTTCCAGCACTCTCCTGGGGAAGAGTCAATTGGCAAGATTTAGTTCTAGTGTTACTCCAACAGCAGACCACATGACAGATTCCATAAAGAGAAGTGGAAGAACAGGCGACCAGGCAACATTTCTTGTTGAAAAGTAGTAAGAGTTGACTGCATATTTTGGAACACACAAGTATACCTGTCTGCCGTAAAGTTTGTAATGTGCACATTTTGGGAAACAAAGAAGTCTTTTGGGGTTTGTTTTTTTCCTACACAGAGTTTTAGTTGGGATTGCTATCAAGTCCAGTAAGTCATGTACTAAGCTTTTTTTTTTCATCCAGACTCTGATTTCTGGCAACTTAACACCCTACTCTGAGCAGACAATTAAGAAATGCAAAGCTGTTAGACTAGCTTGAGCAGGGCAGTAGCTGAATCCAAAACAGCTGAGACAATTTTATGCAATATTTGCACTGTTCTGGGTTTGTGACATCTGGGACATCTGACTACACTTAGTTGCTAAAGCTTTCTTTATCCCATAAAGTCTTTTCAAGACTTAGTCATGGCTGTGGGTACAAAATGTGTTGAACCAGTATCATATTCATTACAGAGTGACAAACTTACAGGCAGTGTAGTAAAATTTTGTGGCAGGTAGCCAACCTTTGCTTTACCATCAATATAGCATTATCATTATTTCAAGAGATTAAGGTGTTCATTCTGCTAAAAACAGGAAACATCAATAAAGTCTTACTGTTCTACAGCATATCTTGAATGCTCAGCAGTTGCTAGTACAATTTAAGCCACAGAGCTTGTAAATTAGTTTTGGAACTCTGCTTTGCAAAGCAGTCTTTATACTGATGGTGGGTCAGTGCTTCTGAACTTCAGGCATACTTTGTTAGTGGAGACAGGGTGAGAAATGCAAGTTCCAATTATACCTTTAGGTACATAGGTATCACTGGTCTAAGGGCATAGTACTAGTTGGCTTTCACTAGCACATAGGTACATTTAAGGTTCATCTTAGAAGAGCACACTCACCTAGTAGGCTGAAATGGATATTCCTGTATGCAGCATTTTAATAATGATACAACTGTTTAGCTGCCAGGAGACTCCAGAAAAAGTCACTGCATTTTTTTATTGAGTCACCTCTCTATTGTGTCTATATATTGATAATTCTTTTCAGAATTACTTCCCCATGCAGAGAATCCTAACCTATCATCTGTAGTTCCCCATAGTTATCAACTCTTTTGTTGTTTTTTTACCCTCTTACATGTGGAAAGAATCCAGTCCACTCCATAGTGAGACTATTCTAAGGAGGCTGTAGGAAGCAGTTGCCTCTTAATTTCATTTGATGTACTGTGGTGACCTTGTTAGATGCCTCTGTTCAGCTGCTGATTTGACATACTTGGTGCTACTTCAGTTCTGCTCGCTTCTCCCATGATAAAATTTGAAGTCTCTGCTAGATTTCAACAGAGCTTGTGTTATATTATGGGAATGGGAATACTTCTCCAAAACAAATAAATACCAATTCCCTGCCCCCACCTCCACATGCATACACATAGCACTAACAAATGCACAGGGAATATCACATTGTTGGACAATTTTAAGCAGGACTACAAAAGAGCAAATGTCCATCAGAAATATCAGTATCAAGTCATGGTTTAGAGCTCTAATTGCAGACTATTTGTTTAACTCATCGTAGGGAAGAAAAAAAGACCACACCAAAACATAAACAGTTTCATGTTTGAAGAACTTATAGAACTTCAGATAGTACAGATAAGTTGAGTTCTGCTGAAACTAGCTATTTAGCTTCCAGAGTTTTAAAAGGTTACTATTAAGGAAGTTAACTTCCATTTTTCAACCTACACATCAGCAGGAACTGTTGCAGTCCAAAGCATGTAAGTGACCTTACCTCATAAGATCTGACACCTGAGGAGTTATGAGTGCAGTCAGCTTCCTTGTTGTTCTGTACTGTTGCAAGGATGAACCGAGTACCAGTGCTCCTTTCACATAGGAGTCATTTGTGGCTAGAGTCACAAAAGACTGGTCTGGAAGAAATCAACGTGGTCAAGTTAGCACGATCCGCTACTTTATTCTGAGACAGCTACATTAGAAACGGAGTATTGTTCGGTAATCTTGCTGTGAGACCTCTAAGATGTGCCCTTTAATTCTGTGTATAGGGCCTTCCTACGTGACTCAGTGAAGCAGATTGCTTGCATAGCTATATTTGCTATTGGTAACTTGACACATGGCAAAATGTAGTAAAATGACCCACAAAATCAAGACTGTTTCAAATTTGCCCGCAGGTTAAATAAGTCATGCCAGAAGTAGAGACAATCCAAAATTCTAAAGAGCTGTACTTGGGCCGCTAATATGCTATTGTGCAAAAAGTGTTTGGAGTCTGTGGGCTTGCTTTTGGCCTAAAGTTAGTAGGGTTTTTTAGAGTTTCTCTGGGTTCAGCTCTCAGCCCTGAAGCTAAAGCAGTGTAAAACTTGCAATTCATTTTCAAATGAAAGTAAGCATTGAATTATATCTTAGACAACAGTTTTAAGTTTTGCTAGCTCAGGATTTTGCAGATGAGTTGTTCTGCAACCCATGATTGCAGCTCTGTCACAAGAATGCAAGATTTAAATGGGAAGTAACTAGTAATACAAAAAACAATTTAAAACTTGCAGGAACAATTTTTACTTTTTGAGCAAAAAGAGGTACTATAATCTTCTGCTTCACCTATATCTTAAATATAGCTTAAGACAGATTGTTTTGCCCTGTAGTACTTATTGAAGCCATATTATACAAGAGTTGCCTTCTTTCATGTTGTTTTAAACTGCCAGAGGGGGACTCACAAAAGCAAACAAGTAACTTATAGAAGTTCTTCAGTTCACTGTTAGTAGCCCTCCTTTCAAAGTTATATCACTTTACAAAGCATGCTCTTTTCTACCAATCTATTTTCACTCTATCAACAAAAGTTTCTTCCCAAGAAATTCAAGAGTCAAATTTATTTTAGCAACTTTGATTTCTTTTCTTTACAGAAGGTGTTACCTAGGTTAGATGAAAGTGACAGTTCTGGACACTTAAAGGCTTACTATCAAGCCTAGTAGCAAGATTAAAATACTGACTCCTTTCAGAAAAATTGTTGTTTCACACAACACCTAAGCTCACGAGGCAATCATCATCAATATCTTTTTAACGTAATACCCATTTAATAGTTGACAACAGACAATCATGTACTGTAATTGCCTATAAGCTCTGCAAACCTGGTCTGCAAGATCTATAGACTAGCTACAAAACCTTCTATTTTGCTTAGCAGCAAAACCAACTAGTCCTAAGGGATTTAGATTATAGTGGTCAATCACAAAGATCAAAAAAGCTTCTATAATACCAGGAATAAAGATATTTTGTTTCAATTCACTTTTAGCTGCCTATTTGTACTAGTTCATATTCAGCAAATCTGCAGAACAACTTTGTTTCTTTGAAAGGGCAAGGGTGCAATATTTTAAGTTCTATAAACATCCTCCTAATAGGACAGAGTTTTTCACTAGGTAATTTGCATGTTACTGTTCAATACATGGAAGTCTGACACTATGCTCTCAAACAGCTCACTAAAAGTCCAGTGTAGATGAAGTGGGATTGTGCCCAATATTCATCAGAATGTTGTTTGGGTTTGGTTTTTTCCCCCTAGCAGTGTAGCACTAGTTCTTACAGTGAACTTGCCACTGAAAGACAGATCTTTTCTTCATTGACCTGTTAGCAGGTACACTTTTACTCTGTCTCATCTTCTTGAAACTGAATGTTCACACACACAAAGGGAAATAAGGTCAATTTAATGATGGAATAAAGGCTAAGAAGCCCCCTACTGCATCCCGCAACTTCACTGCTTGACAGGAGGTGAATATTGCCAACCTGGAGACCATCTAGGGCAGCATAACTTTCCAAAGTTTCTAATAAACTATGTTTTATTCTCTATCTAAAGTGTCTATTGCATCCATTCTATATCATCCTGTTGGTGTTCAGTATCATCTATATATCATATCTAAGTGTTCTATTCTATATAATTCTTAAGTACATGAGCTCATGCTACAACTGGGGCAAGACCAGTTGGTGCTTACTATAGAAGTTGTATCTGCAAAAGACTAGTCAGTCCATTCTACCTAAACATCAAGTATTTCAGCTGTGTGGGTTCTCCCTTGTCATCCTTTTCTCCTTCTCTGTTAACACTTTCTTCACAGAATCTCATGTTTACACAGCAGCCACTGTTAGGCCTGAAACATAGTGAACTTTTGGTGACAGTATGTCCTCAAAACCACATAGAATGAGAGGCAGTTGCACAGCTTCCTAATTCACTTACCCACACAAAACCATGCTACTTCAGAGAACTCTTTGGCTGCCCAGTTCATAGGCTATAATATTTCTTTGCAAGAGTTTTTGTGCTAGCCCTTACACACCCACAAACATCCTGGAAGTCTGAGCTAGAAGCGATTTTTCATTTGATAGCATGCAGGAGGTTACTGGAGTGCTTGCCCCCGATCATTTAAAAATTCCCCTGGAAGAATTTTCTTAGGCATAGCCAGAGTTCACAGGTGCTTGCCTTTTCTCCTGTTCTCTGAGTTAGGTGCTAGTGTATCTGATTTTTTTTTGAGCACAGGATTCCTAGAGAGACAGGAGCATCTTATCAAGACATGCATTGGAGGGCAGACTTCCTACAGGCTTCCAGACCTGAAAATGAAACCGACTCTGCTGACAACTTCAGGTAAAAAACGGGGAAAAAAAGAATAAAGGGGAAAAAAAAGACCCCACAAAAACAAAACAAAAAAACTCCACAAAACCACAAAAAAACCACAAAACCCCACAAGAAAAACCAAAACCAACCAAACAAAAAAATTAGAAAACAAACAAACAAACAAAAAAAAAAAACACACCAAAAAACCCGAAACCAAACAAAAACAAAAAACGGAAGAAAGAAATGACAGGTACGTGGAAAGCCGTAAGAACCTACTCACTGCAAAGTATCAAAATCACAGAAATCACAAGCTCTCTCCGGCGTTTCAGGAGAGGGCTGGGTTTTCCCCTGTGAGCCGCTGTACCCCTAGAGTGGCCTCTCCGGCCCATGCTGCTCCCCGCCATGCCGGCGACATCCGTCCCGTTAGGGGACGGAGCTCGGGTCACCGTACCGAACTGGCGCGGAAAGAGCCGGCACCGTACGCGTTCTCTCAAACCGCACAGCGGTGCCCGGCGGGACGGCTCCGAAGCCCCCGCGAGCAGTCCCTGCTCCCGCCAGTCGAAGCCAGCTCGCCGCCGGGACGGCTGCCTAAAAACAGGCGCGGCCGCGGCGATCCCTGGCCGGGAGCTCGGGCCGCGGCCCTCGCGGAGGGCGGCGCGAGCCGGGCGGGCGCACACTGACCTGCCATGGTGCCCGAACGCAGCTCGGTGCGGGAGACGCGACGGCCGCGCTTGGGGCCGCGCTGAGGCCGCCCCTTATATAGGGGCGGGGCCAGCAGCGGCGCGTCCGCGGCGGCCGCTGGAGGCCCCTCCCTGGCCGAGGAATCCCCGCGGCGCCGCGGGCGGAGGCCCCGCCATGGCCTCCCGCGGCGGCCGCACGTCACCCCCCCTCTCTCCGGGGCCGGCGCCGCGCCCGGCCGCTCCTGTGCCTCTCGGGTAAAGCGCAGCTTGAAAATGCTTAAAGTACTCCACTGCGCGAATAAAGGGTAGGACTGTGTCAGGGTGCTGTAGCTCAGGTTGGGAGCGGCGGTGGTACACAGGACGGGTGTTGCTCCTGTGGCCGCTAAGCCCTGCGGGAAGAAGGACTGAAACTACTGGGAAGAGCCTGGCCCCGTCCTATTGGCACTCTCCCCGCAGGCGTTAGTACAGGTGTATGGGATCCGCCGAGCTACCTCTTCTCCAAGGCTGAACGGTCCCAGCTCCCTCAGCCGGGGAGAGATGCTTTCTTGACCCTTCACCATCCTTGTGGCCCTTTGTTGCCCTCTCTCCAGTGTGTTTATGTCTTCCATACCGGGGAGCCCAGAACGCAGCACAGCCCTCCAGGTGTGGCCTCAGCAGCGCTGAGCAGAGGGCAGGGGTCCTCTTCCCCGATCTGCCTCATGCAACCCAGGATAGCATGCACCTTTTCAACAAGGGCACATTTTTGGCTTGTGTTTAATTTCGTGTCCCCCAGGATGCCCAGATCTTTTCCTGTGATCCGTTACCTTCCTCAACACAATTAAATATAACTGCTTTTTGATCACAATAAACAGAGGGAAGACCGTTAGGAAGGGGATTTCTTTCTGACTTGAAATGGCAAATGAGCCGTTAACGGATTTAAAAAATAAAACTCAAATGCAAACTCATGAACAAAGAGCACTCCGACTCCTCATTTCCCCAGTATGGGAGATAATTTTTGAGCTGAGACAATTTTTGTAGATCTGTTTCAAAATCAAATGACTCACTTCTAAAAATACCAAAATCAAGGAAGTGTTCCTTGACCAGCCACAGAATAACAACCCCAAAACAAAATATGCATTTAGAGCATACCATTAATTTGCAATTCATGCATCAGCATCATATGCATAAAAGAATGTGAATCAGAATTGTAGGCAATGCTGGTAATGTACGTATATAGGGATTACATAGGGATTACTATTTTTTTTTTAAATGCAACTGTTTTTTCAGGTATCTGTGGCTTTGACACACTTTCTCTATGATGGTATTAGGCATGGTTTGTGTCTGTCTCAGATGAAAGTTTTGAGAAGTTTTTAGCTAGCACATTTCAGCTGTGTCTAGCTTGTTGCTTTGCCAAGTTTTTGAAGAGAAAACAATAGAATAGCCACTGTTGGTGACTGCCCTTCCCCCTTCCCTTGCTTCCTTTGTGTTATGTTAGAGTGGAGCAAAAGAGCATAATTCCTTCTGGTTTCTACATTAAACAATCAGAAAAAAAATCCCTAGGATTGCCAGTGTTCATCTTGATAGTGTGACAGAGAAGCGCAGCATCCACCCCTGTGCTAATACTTGTTTGCACATGCACTTTTGTGATTTTTCCAATGTTCATGGTTGAACAGGCTGTAAATTCTATGGTTCCCTTGAGAGACGTGATTGCATGTACATCTGTGCCTTTTTACTGACTGTTTATACTTCTTTCTCCATAACCTGAAGGGAAAAGTCACAGGAAGAACCTGAGAAACAGGTATCTCATTGGCTTCCAGTACAAATGGAAGAAAAGATCATGAGGATAGATGGAAAAAAAGCTCACAGAAAAGAGAAGAATGCTCAGGAAAAGCTCTTCTGAGATGATAACTAGGATAGCAATGCATCTACGCCTAGGTTAGGCTGAGCAAAAAAAACAGCTAGGCCTCAGTTTCTATGGAAGGGAATAAATTTAAGAGTAAGTAAAAGATAAGTAACATATGAGGATGGGAACTAACCAGGGAAACTGTTACTTGTCAGCACACAATAAGACTTGATAAAAACCTAGTGAGGAGGGAGAAGGAATAGATTTTGATGGATTAAGAGACAGCATTCAGAAAGAATGGACTGAGTGCTGCATAGCAGCTCATTAAGTGAATACTGGCACACTGAAGAAGGTGAAAGCCCTATGGAAAACAATCCTGTCATCATGCAATTAAAAAATTTGATCACCATGCATGTCACAGAAGTCCAATTGCCCTTATACATTATAAAATGTCCTATTCTTAATGACTGATAGTGTTATTTTAATAGGAACTTGTTTATAATGTAATTAAAAAGGCATTTCAAAACACCAAGTACTAAGGATTAGCTTTGAAATATAGTTAGGATTTACATAGTATTAAGAGAAACTGCTATCCCTGTAACAGGACTGTTTAGTGTAAACTTCTAAAGTACATGATTAGCCACTTGATTACAATTGCAATTTTGCAAATGTGCACAGTGAGTCCAACCATTAAGTTAATAAAACATTGTAGAGATGGTTTCAGAATTAAACATTATTTCTGCCTCTGCAAAACCCAGGGGGAAAAATTTTAAAAAACAACACAGAAGAATCAATTCGACATATCCAGTCCAAGTTTAAAGTATTAGAATTCAGTTTTTACAACATCAAAATGGTTATATGTCTGGTTAGAAAAGAGGCCTCAATGGTGTGAAGTGCATAGATAGGTGAAAAGAATGTAGCCCAATTCAACACGGTATTGAGAGATTTGATTTCATTTTTGTCTAGCCATCTCTGTCTTGCCCTGAAGTTGTCACAAACTTCCCTGATGACAAAAACTGTTCTGGGTCATGCCCTCCTCTTTTTGAAGCCCTTCTCACTTCGACCTTACTGTGAAGTTAGACTGAACAGTTATTGAGTACTTACAGTAGTCTGCATAGAATTTTAAAGTGTGGCACAATTTTTTTCCAGTGCTAGGATTTCAATGTAATGTAACTTCCTCCAATAGGACTGAAAAGGCTTTCACATTTCTATTTGAATAATCAAAATATTATGTTGTCACTCTAACTTATTTCAGCTTTTCACATTCTGCTTTCCTAACAGATGTTCTCTTTGCCCATCCCAAGGCCAATCATAGTTCTGGCCTTGTTTTCTTAAAAAAAAAAATAAAAATCCACCTGCTAGATAAATGTGATAGTTTTCTAAAAAGCTGGGCTCTGTAATTTGTTTGGCTCATGTTATTTATGCATTCCAGTGAACAGATGTTTAGTGGATTGAGGAATTCTTGTAATTTCTTCTAGCTAGCACAATAAAATTAACATTCCTCTAAGCAGGGAAGTGAGTAGATCTCAGTTTCTCTTGTATTGTCTTTTGGGTGGATTCTCAGTGATCTGCAATGCAAGCAAGTTACAGTAGAAGCTTTCTCCTGGTTGAATGATTAACTTGGTATCTATTAAGAAGAAAATTGATGCATTGGAGAAATAGTTGCCTCTCTCACCTCTCTTTACAAGACTGTTCAAAAGTTCTAATGCTGAAAGCTCCCACTGCTTTCCTATACTTAATGAAAAGGTTAAGTATCACTGAGGAACACAGAACCATGTACAACTGATTTATAAGCCTCCTTTCCTTTGGCAAATACGCTAAATATGGTAGATGTGTGTTGTGTTTTTCTTCTAACTTGCCCTCTGCTTCATCTTTGCCTGCTCTCCTTTTCTAGTGATTCTTTTGGGATGGGAGGCCACGAGACCTACTGACCAGGACATATGGGTGAGAGCAGAAAGCATGGGTTTATTACCAGTTCCACTCGTCATTTGCCATGGTGATAAGTACAGGCAGGACAGCTATGTATTTCTCTTTGTTTGCTCTCCTTACCACTTGATTTGAAACAGTAAACACTCTCTTGCTCTATATTTGCACAGGGAAGTTGAAATCATGTATCTGAATTCTATCTGTATTCTACCTCAGTAGGTAACAATAACTCTTATGATTTCTTACCTTCACAAACCAGAATTTTAAACTCTCAAAATAGAAAAATTCTAGTATCTCACCTGAACATGCATGTTCTTCCTTACTACAGGAAGTGCTACAACTTTTAATACTTAAAAAACTAGCAGATGATAGAATTCCTGCAGATGCAAAGTTCTCGAGAAATTTTATCAGGGATTTGAGAAGAAGCAGTGGCAGTACTTCCACCAAGTTACTCTGACTTACAGCAATGCTTCTGTTCCATGCTAGATTTTTGTTGAATTTCAAGCTAATATTTCCTCCAGTCTAGGCCAAGTAATTAACTTTTTTTTTTTTTTTTTAAATCAGGGTGATATACTGGGAATGGCATTTATGATTAATATTAAGTGAATACAGGTACTCCCTTTTGAAAAATCTTAGTATCACTGAGTTGAGATGCTTTGACCTCTTTCCCAACTAAAGTGTAATAACATGAGGACTAAACTAGACTAGACTAGACTAGAATAGAATAGTTCATTTGGAAAGGATCAACACTGCTCATCTAGTTCAATTGCCTTACCACTTCAGGGCTGAAACATTATTAAAGAATATTATTAAGGGCACAATCCAACTGCCTCTTAACACCGATGTACCTGGGGCATCAACCGTCTTTTTTAGGAAGCTGGTTCCAGTGTTTCACCACTCTCTTGGTAAAGAAATGCTTCCAGAAAATGTCTAGTCTGAATCTCCCCTGGAAAAGCTTTGAGCCATTCTCAGGCATTCTGTCCCCAGCTCCCAGGCAGAAGAGCCCAGCACCTTCCCCTCCACACCCCTTCCTCAGGAACCTGCAGGGAGCAATGAGGTTGCTCCTCAGTCTCCTCTTTGAACTAGACAAAGCCAGAGGCTTTGTGTAGGACTAGACTATTACTATAGAGATGATGTACTAATAATAATGCTCATCAATTATAGTTGTCAAAAATCTACATAAGTATTAATTCCCCATCTCTGAGCATTTAACCATTACTACATTTATTTTTTTACTGAAGTGATCATAGGTCTCATTTTTCAGATTAAATGGGCAGAGAATTTGCAGTTTCTGCTAGCATGAAGCAACAGCAACATTGCCTGGGAAGTCATTTTAATTGACCTCAAAGAAATTATTTCAGCATGACCCCATCAGTTTGGGTAACGCTGGTCTAATTCCTCAGGACTCCACAGAACGTCAGCAGTATAGATCTGTGGTGTAACAAATTCTGCACCTGACCTCACTGACATCAGAGCTGAATGATGTGAACCTAGAGGTACAGATTCCTGGGTTCTTGACCTAACAATGCCAGTGTGCTCAAGGGTTAGTTAGTAAGGTCTTCTTTAAGCAGAGTTTTATCTTAGGATGTGTGGGTTTGCATTAGAAAAAGGCCATTAGACTAGGATATAAGATGCTGATCAGAAGTCCTTGTTGTCAA